GTCTTCAAGATGGCTTCCGTTTTGTCCATACACTAACAATAGTGACCTGGCTGTGGTGGGTGAGGAAGGATATCTGAGCAGGAAGCTTGCCCTGAAGGACAGTCGCTTGGCCCAGGTTCAGCCTGGTCCAGCCACCTAGTGTGACTCCAGAGATGTCTTTCTGCCAACACTGCCCCGCCCTAACCATGCTCAGCGAGGCCTCCCGGCCTTCTGTCCTGTTCCCCAGCTTGGCCCCGCATGGCCCCACAGCGCCACCTTGTGAAAGGCTCTGGCAGCAGCTTTCCCTCGGCTTGATTTATTTGTTTGCTTATTTTAGTCAGTCCTGGGGCTTGAACTCAGGGCCTGGGCACTGTCCCTGAGTTTTTGGGCTCAAGGCTAACACTCTACCATTTTGAGCTACAGTGCCACTTCTGGTATTTGCGTGGTTCACTGGAGGTAAGAGTCTCATGGCTTTTCTTGGAACTGCAATCCTCAGATCTCAGCCTCCTGAGTAGCTGGGATTACAGGCATGCGCCACGGTGCCCAACTGCCTTTGGCTTTAGAAAGTCAGGGTCACTTGAGCAGCACCCTGGGCCTGCCTCTTCTGGAGCCCCATGATTTACTACACCCCCACGCCAGTGCAGGACAGCATTGGTTGGCCTTACAAAGAAGTAACAGGGCCTTCTATAGCCAGGTTATGTTTGGGAGCGGTTAGAGACTGCAGGACCAAGCATTCAGGACATGTCCCCTCTCCCCTGGATGCCATCCTGGGCCAGTGTCCCGCCCCACCGGAGAACGTGAACAGGTCTGTTGAGTCGCTAGTGTTCACTGTGTGGCCAAGGAGCGGGGCTCTGGGGAGCCTGTGACGCATAGGTACAAGGGAGAAAAGTCTGCTTGTGTGAGCTGCTGTGCCAAGCTCCCAGCCAGCCCGTGGTCCTCCGGATCACCCTGGGCTGGATCAGCAGAGCTGGGTACCGGGAAGCCCTTGGGGGTCACTGCGGCCGGGCCTGCCCTAAGCTCCAGACTCTGCCAGCCTAGAACCCATGGAGAGCTTGGCTTTCGGGTCCTTTACTCTCAGATCCACAGTGGGCATGCGGCCACGCCCAGATCCCTGCTGTGACAGGCAGGCCACGCCCCCATCCGGGGTCCTGGGCAGACAGGCCCTGCTTGGGGCCACCATCGCAAGTCAGTGTTGCAGGCTGGCGCCGGGGAGCACAGGAGGGCAGACCTGCTCTCCGCAGAAACCTCAGCTCTGGAGTTTTGTTGTCTTTTTCTTAGTCATTTTCTTAGTCTTTTTCTTAAACTCAGGGCCTGGCACTGTCCTTGACCTCTTTTTGCTCAAGGCTAGCCCTCTGCCACTTGAGCCACAGCCCCACTAATGTTTTTTGAGTGGCTCATTGGAGATGAAAGCCTCCTGGGCTTTCCTGCCTGGGCTGGCTTCGAACCCTAATCCTCAGATCTCAGCCTCCTGAGGAGCTTCAATGACAGGCGTGAGCCATGGCGCCTGGCTCTGTTCCTAGTCACAGCTAGCCAGTGCCAGCTTGTGGGCACGCTGCCGCATGTGGAAAGCTTCATTATCACTTGGCACCAGGGTGTGGTGGGGCCCGCTGTGCACGAGTGTCGACATTGTCTCCACACCTGCCACGCTGGCCTCGGGGTCTGCCATGACCACCGCTCCTTCCGCTCCGGTCCCTGGCCCCGTGCAGCTCGGGCCTGGCCTCGGGCTCGGGCCTGGCTGTGTGAGGGCGGGGCGCGGCTCACCCGCTCTGTGCCTTGCGTTTGTCCCGCAGGAAGCTGATCAGCATCTCCTTTGGGGATCTGAACCCCTTCCCCCTGCGCCAGATCCGGAACCGGCGCGCCTACCACCTGGAGAAGGTGCGGCTGGAGCTCACGGAGCTCGAGGCCATCCGCGAGGACTTCCTGCGCGAGCGCGACGCCAGCCCCGACAAGGGCGAGCTGGGCAGCGACGAGGAGGACTCCTGACCGCCCGCCGCGGCCCAAGCGCGGGCGCCCCGTCCCCTCCCCGCCCTCCGGGACCTGCGGGCGGCGCCGCGGCCACTCCGTGTTTACACACCGGCCCCGCCACGTCCATCCGCAGCTTGCGACGGCGGCCCGCACACACGGCCGCCCGGGCGCGGCGGGCTGCGGCTCCGTGGAGCCTGGCTGGAAGGCGCCCTGTTCATAACCGGAGCCCTGGCCGGGTACGCACTGCCGCCCGCGGCCCCCCGTCCCGGGCAGGGCCGGGCCCCAGCCACGGGGGGGGGGCGGAGCCGGGGCCCCCCGTCCCGGGCAGGGCCCCAGCCGCAGGCCGGGCGGAGCCGGCGATGCCCGCGCCCCGCACAGTGTTTCTGGAACTCGGGAGACGCGATCGCGGGTTGGAGAGAGCGCCAGGATGAAGCGTGGGGGCGTCCCCGGCCTTTTCCGGGCCGCGTCGCCCAGCCCGGTTCTAGCCCGGGCTCCAGGCGCTTGGGAGGCGCGCCCTCCGCCGGAGACCCGAGGCTGCAGCCTGGGGACCCCTGGCTAGAGGAGGGCCGGGGCCTCAGCGGGCTCCAGCTCAGCTCCTCCCAGGAAACGCGCCGTCCTGGGCTCCAGCGGCGCCCGCCAGCCTGCCCCGGATTCCCCAGCACCACCAAAAAATTGCCAAAAACCCTGCGGTGGCCACGGCCGGACGTCCCCCATTCTCCGGTCCAAGGCCCAGATGGAAGGGCTGGGCCACGTCCAGCAAGGCCAGGCCGGAGGGGGCCGCCCCGGGTGGGGCGGGCAGGGAGATGCCCGCTTCATTCCACGGTGTTTTCTGTTGATACTTTTGTATATTTTTCACTACAGTTTATATTTTTATAGGCTATTTTATCAAGGTTGTCACAGATACAAGTATTTTCTATACCGAGTTCTGTCTTATGTGCACCCCTCCCATATGTGTACAGCCAAGCGCCTGAGTGCTTCCTTCCGTCCCTGCCACCCTTTCCTCAGCCTCCAGCGGTGACCCTCACGTCTGCTCACCCCAGGTGGCCATGGTGCTACTTGCAGTTGCATTGGCCGCTGAGACTGCAGATGGCTCGGTGGCTTGGAGCCATGGAGGCTCCATCTGGCAGCTGGGTACAGGAGGTGGCCAGGCCGAGCCTGGTCTGGCTTCTCCCCCAGGGCCCAGTGCCCCACCCTGCTGGACAGCATGAAGCCTCCAGGCGGCGCTGCCGGGCCATGCTGGTCTTTTCTATCTCAGCAGCCTCTTTGATGATCTTCAAAGTTTGGAAATGTAAAGGGAGAAATAAATTCATTTGTAGAACACTCTGCCTTGAGCCGCAATTATGGTACCTGCCAGCCCCCTCCCGCCAAACCTGTGTCCCTGCCCTGTTTTGTTTATGTTTGTGCCAGTCCTGGGGCTTAAACAGCCTACATGCTGTCCCTGAATTTTCTTGCTCAGGGCTGGCGCTCTACCCCTTGAGCCACAGCTCCATTTCTGACTTTTTGTGGTTCATCAGAGGTAAAAGTCTCACACTTTCCTTCTCTGGGCTGGCTTTGAATCACAATCCTCAGCTCTCAGGTGGGATTACAGGCGTGAGCCACTGCCTCCCTGCCCTGGTTGTAATGGGGCAGAAGGCACTGGCAGCCGTGGTCGCAGGGGTCCCTGGGAACTCTGGGAGCAGGGGCCACAGGAACCGGTTTGGAGTCCCTCCTCCCCCACCCCCAGCAGAGGACGGCACCATGCCAGCCTGAGTCACGGCATGTTTGCCCATGTTTGCCGCTGTCTTGGCTGCCAGCACGGGCCCAGCCACCCCAGCCCTCACTGGAAAAACACAGGATGATTAAGACCAAGTGTCCCCACGGAGGGGAGCGGGCAGCTCGCCCTGGGCTCCTGGGCAGCAGCAGGGCCTGGAAGCCTTGTCTCCCCTCCCTGGGACAGAGGTTCAAGGTGCCTGTGGGCTTAAGCGGCCCCATACAAGTCAAAGCAGAGCCAGGACTCCAGCACGCTGCTACTATCCTAGATGCTGCTCCTCATTCCAACAGCAGCCAAGACTGAGCCCTAGGAGGCCATTGCTCGGAGCCTGGGTCCCCAGGGCACTTCTGACACACTCCCATCAGCACCGTCATTGGCCCCTGAGATCCTGAAAAACAGGTGCTGGGAGCCCCAGCTCTGAGCAGGCAGCAGCTGGCCCTGCTCCTGTCCCTTTGTCCACCCCTCGCCATTGCTCCACAGGGACCCTCCTCCTCAAAGCACCCATCTCCCAGCTGCTCCCTTTAGGACACCCAGCTTGGCTACTCGGGGCGGGCTTTCACTGGTGGAGAAGGGCTGGCTGGGCAGATGCTGGTAAGCTGGCCCCAACCCTAAGCCAGAGGAAGAAGGTGACAGCTCCCGCCTGTCATCCCAGCTACTCGAGGCTGAGATCTGAAGATCATGGTTCAAAGCCAGCCCAGGGAGGACAATCCTTGAGACTCATCTCCAGTAAAGCAGCAAAAAGAAGAAATGGAGCCATGGGTCAGGTGGCAGAGCATCAGCCTTGAGTGAAAAAGCTGTGAGTTCAAGCCCCAAGAGTGATGTACACACACACACACACACACACACACACAGGCAGGGCACGCTGGAGCCAGCGGGGGGTAAGGCTGGCCATTCTTTGCACCCTTGGGGCAGAGGAGCAGGCTGATGCCCGGTCAGCGTGCCAGGGGAGTCCCTGCAGCAAGGGATGGCACTCCTGCTTAAGACTGCGTGAGACTGGATCCTCCAACCTCGCCTGGGATGGGGGTGGTGGGGAGTCCAGTGGGGGGAATGTCAACAAGGACACAGCCCCCTGGACCTTCCTGACCCCCAGTTCCTGCTGCTAGATGGCCCACACCCCCCAGACCTTGCCCACTTGGACTGGGCACCCCTCTCTGCCCCCAGTGATCAGGCACAGTGCACAGGAAAGGGGAAATGTCTGCTTAAGACCCCCCTCCCCACATCCATACGAAGCCAAGAACAGTAGATGCTCATTTATGTAAAATTAATAATAATAACAATAATAATAATAATAATGGTTGCCCAAAACTGTTAGAATAAAAAAATAAGTTTTTGAGGGGGAGAAGGGTCCCCGCACCGGTGGGTGGGGGCGGGGTGAGCACCAGGGGTCGCAGGGCAGGGCCCGCGGCAGCGCTGAGGTCAGGGTGGCAGTCAGTGTGTCCTAGAGGGGTCAGTGCATCCTGGCGACGGTCAGTGGGTCCTCGCAGTGGTGTGTCCTGGGGCTGTCAGTATGTTCTAGCGCTGGTCAGTGCATCCTGGGGCAGTCAGTGCGTCCTCTCAGGGGTCAGTGTGTCCTGGCGCCATCAGTGCATCCTCGCGGTAGTCAGTATGTCCTAGTGGTCGGTCAGTGCGTCCTGGCGGTTGGTCGGTGTGTCCTGGTCTGGTCAGCGGCGGGTGGCGCGCTGGCGGCCGCGGGCGCCGTAGCTGGGCACTGGGCAGGTACGGCAGCACTGGGCACGGATGCTGGGCAGTGCACAGCGGCCAAGCAGGCGCAGGGTCTCGCAGAAACCGAATGATAGGCGATCATGATCACAGCCTGGCGGCGGAGGAACAGGGGTCAGAAAGCTGGGAAGGCAGCTCAGTGGCAGAGTGCTTGCCTTGTATGCATGAGGCCCTGGGTTCGATTCCTCAGCACCACATAAGCAGAAAAGGCTGGAAGTGGTGCTGTGGCTCAAGTGGTAGAGTGCTAGCCTTGAGCTGAAGAGCTGAGGGACAGTGCCCAGGCCCAGAGTTCAGGCCCCATGATCCACAAAAAAAAAGGGGGGGGGGAACTCCCAGATAAAGGATCCCTTGGATTTCTATTCATGATGTCTTTCCTACCAGGCCAGCCTGGGGGTGACAGGTGGGTCCCACAGCTTCCTGCTGGGTTCCCTGTCTCCCACCTCATCTCTTGACACAAAGGACTTCAGACTCCCAACCCTGACCAGCCATGAGGAAAAGGGAGGGGCCTGTTGTGGTGACATCATCACCACCAGCCCCACCTCTGATCACCCCTGATACCAGAAGAACCTGACTCAAAACTGAGTGCTTCCTAGAATCTCCCTTCACCTTGGGGGCCAGCTCAGCCTCTGCTTCTGGGTCACAGGCCAGAGCCCAGCCCCATCTGCCAGGCCAATCTCCCTGCCTCATTTTAATTATCTATTTATTTATGTGCCAGTCATGGGGCAACAGCTCAGGGCCTGGGTGCTGCCCCTGAGTTTGTTTTTTTTTAAATGCCTTGAGCTCTATTGCATCTTTTTGCCGATTCATGGCAGATAAGAGTCTCACAGATTTATCTTCCTGATTTTGGCTTTGAACCATGATCCTCAAATAGCCTTCTCAGTAGCTGGGATTATAGGAGTTAAGCAATTATAATTGCCCAGCAAACCTCCCTACTTCTCATCTGAGCAGTAAAGCCCCAGGAGTGGGTCATGACCAAGGCCACCCAGAACACTGGGGCCCCAGGGACTGAGTGTGGCCCACCTGGAGAGAGAAAGGCTACAGGCAGTCCCACACAAGCTGAGGCTCTTCTGCCTTCTGCCTGGTCATTATTAGAGCTATTTTGGGAGATGACTGTGTTCCCAGCCCCCTGGCCTCGTTCCCAGCCCTGCTGCTACTGCTGATGTGCCGCTGTGGCTTCCGGGCCTGCTCACTCCAATAGATCCCCAGGGGAAGGGGGAGCCAGCCCTGGATCTGGGGACATCCCTTGGCCTGGCAGAGGGCATGGAACAGCAGGCAGCCTCTGCCACCCTGGGTGGAAGCAGAGGATCCAGACTCTAACCTCTCAGGCCACGCCCAGTTCCCTCCAGCAGTGACCACAAACAAACACACACACACACAGAGGAAGTGTGGATACAACCGGACATGTCAGCTGCCTTGGCCTCAGTGATCAACATGTTCTGGATTTTCCAGAATTTCCAAATATCCTGACACTGTTCTACACATCATCCAAAAACATCCTGGCCAGTAGCTCACCCCTATCACCTCAGGAGGCTGAGATCTGGAGGATCACAGTTCATTGCCAGCCCACTCAGGAAAAGTATGTGATTCTTATCTCCAATGAAACAGCAAAAAACTGGAAGTGGTAGAGTGTCTCAAGTGAAAGCACCAGCCTTGAGTGAAAAAGCCAAGCAAGAGAGTAAGGCCCTGAGTTGAAGCCCCAGGACTGGAACACACTTTAAAAAAAAATTCTGAGCATTCTAGGGTCTCAGGACACCAGACTCCACTGTGTGCCAGTACCTAGCTTGGTCACGCCAGGAGGCATTGTATTTCTGGGGCAGATGCAAAGGTTAGACTAGAGCAGCACGAGAAGGTGCAGGTAGCTGGCCTTCGCGGGACTCTGAGGTGACAGGATTTGAACCATGAGGGCTATCTCTGGGGGACGGCTGCCAGCAGCCAGGGGGGCGGGGGCAGATCTGCGCAGGAACCAGCCTGGTAGCTGTGGATGGAGGGGACAGAGACAGCTCTTCACATACAATGCCAGGCCACTGGGTTTCCTCAACTGGCACAGGTGACCCTGAGCTCTGACTCTGCAATGGAGAATGACAGGCACCACCAGGCAAGAGCAACAGCTCCTTCCCTGAGCAAGCCCCGGTACCAGGCAGTGCCAGGCTCCTCACCACAACTCACTGGAAAAAGATTGTTGGGTTTTGTTTTTGATATTTTTGTGTGCTAGTCTTGGTGCTTGAACTGTGAGCTTGGGTGCTGTCCTTGGGCTATTTTTTGCTTAAGGCTGGTGCTCTACCCCTTGAGTCACAGCTCCACTTCTGGCTTATTTTGGTAATTTATTGGAGATAGGTCTCACAGGGCTGGGAAGGTGGCTCTGTGGCAGAGTGCTGGCCTGGCACGCGTGAAGCCTTGGGTTCGATTCCTCGGTACCAGCGCCAGAAGTGGCGCTGTGGCTGAAGTGGTAGAGAGCTAGCCTTGAGCAAAAGCAGCTCAGGGACAGCGCCAGGCCCTGATCTCAAGCCCCAGAACTGGCAAAAAAGACAACAACAACAAAAAAGTCTCATGAACTTCCTGCCCGGGCTGGCTCTGAACTGCGATCCTCAGAGCTCAGCCTCCCGCGAAGCCAGGATCACAGCATGGGGTTTGGGGAGCGCGTATGTGTGTGCGTGTGGGACCTGAACTCAGGGCCGGACGCTCCCCCTGGGCTCCCCACTTGACTCCGCTCCCGGGACGGGGCCGGGCCGGTGCCTGCCGTGAGCGTTGCAGGCCCAGAGCCGGAAACGGCCCAAGGCCACAGCTGGAAAAGATGCCCAGGTGCGGCTTCGGCCGGCAGGAAAGACGCGGGAAACAGGACGGGCCCGGCGTCGCCTCGGCCCCGCCCCCGCCCGGCCGCGGGGTGACGTCACCGCACCGCCTCGGCCCCGCCCGGCCGGTGACGTCACCCACGCCGCCGCAGCGGCCTCAAAGCACGCGAGGCCCCGCCCCCGCCGCGCCCCGCCCCCCCGCCGCGCCCCGCCCCCCGCACTCACGTGGGAGCTCCCCCGCGTCACAGTCCTCCGTGCCGCAGGGCCGCGAGCTCTCGGGCCAGGGCTCGTGGCTGCAGAGCTCGCCGTCCTCCTCCCGCAGCCCAGTGCGCGTGTTCACGCATCGGACCAGCCGCCGCTGCGCGCCGCCGCCGCAGGGGGCTGAGCACTGCGGGGCGGGGGAAGAGGGGAGGGAGGTGCTCAGTTCTCCAGCGCGGCCCCCCGGCCGGCCCCGCCCCGTCCCGGCGGCCCCGCCCCTCCTCGGCCGGCCCCGCCCCACGGCCGGCCCCGCCCCGTCGGCCCCCGCCCCGCCCCTCCTCGGCCGGCCCCGCCCCCGCCCCGCCTCAGGTAGGCCCCGCCCCGGCCGGCCCCGCCCCGCCCCGGCAGGCCCCGCCCCACGGCCGGCCCCGCCCCCTCCGGCTCGGCTCCGCCCCGCCCCCGGCAGGCCCCGCCCCGCCCCGCCCCGCCCCGCCCCGCGGCCCTCACCTGGCCCCAAGGCCCCACCACCCACTGCGTGCAGGGGTGCGTGTTGCAGGGCTGGGTGGAGTTGGGCCTCGCCGCCTCCTCGCACAGCCCCGGCTCCGGGCAGGTCACCAGGCGCTGCTGCTCGCCGCCTCCGCACGCTTCCGAGCACTGCGAGGCAGGGGAGGATGGAGGATGGCGGAGGGCGGGGGGGCGGAGCCGGGGTCCCCCGCCCCCAAGTCCCGGGGCCTCACCTCCCTCCAGGAAGAGATGTACCAACTGAGGCAGGGCTGGGTCCCGCAGGCCTGGCCGGCCGGGGGCTTGGGGGGCCCCAGCTGGCAGTGGAACGGCCGCAGGGGCCGCAGGTCCCGCGTGTCCACGCACTGCACGTCCCGCACCGAGGAGCCTCCGCCACAGCTCCTGGAGCACTGGGAACCGAGCGCAGATGTGAAGGGGAAGCCGACCACCCCGGGGCCAGCCTGTTATCCCAGCCCCTCAAAGAGGCTGGGAGCTGAGGATCTAGCTTCAAAGTCAGCCTGGGGAGGCAAAGTGTGAGCCTCTCCAGTGAGCCACCAGAAAACCAGAAGCGGAGCTGTGGCTCACGGAAGAGCGCCAACCCTGAGTGGAAAAACTAAGGCACCCAGGCCCTGAGTTCAATCCCAGTTCAGACCCAAAAAATCAGGACTGATTGAGGGCAGAGGTCAGAGCCGGCGGGTCTGGGATGCGGGCCACGCCTCGATACCCTCACTCACCTTACTCCAGTTGCCCGCGTGCCAGGCAGCACAGGGCCGCAGGTGGCAGCGGCGTGCGGGCTGGGGCCGGGCCGTGAGCGGGCAGTCCTCATCCCGGCCCGAGCTGCAGCCCACCAGCCTCCAGGATGCGCCCAGGCCACAGGTGGTGGAGCACTGCAGGACACAGAGGCACCATGAGCACTGATGGCCCTAGCCCTCCAGGCCCCCAGAGCCTGGGCACCAGCCCAACGCTGCTGGCTGAGGCTGAGCCAAGCCACCGCCCCACTTCTGGGCCTGTCTCCTTGTTCGCAAGACTGTTTGCCCCTGCACTTCCCAAAGACGCTGAGGAGCTGGGCATCCGTGGCTCAGGCCTGTAATCCCAGCTACTTAAAGGATTGCAGTTCAAAGCCAGCCTGAGCAGCTGTTAATTCCAATTAATCAGCAAAAAGCTGGAAGTGTAGGTGTGGCTCAAGTGATAGAGGGCCAGCCTTGAATGTAAAAGGCTCAGGGACAGCCCCCAAGGCCTGGGTTCAGGCCTGGTGCGTGTGTGTACCCACACACCCCTCCCTCCCCACCCTCCCCCTCCTCTCTGTCCTCCCCGGCATGCACCACGTGCCTGGCTCCAGTTCCCCACCAGCCAGATGGCGCGGCCAGGGCTGCTGTTCCGGTCCCTGCCAGGCTGCGCTTCGGGGGCATTGCTGCTGTAGAAAACGTTATCAGGAGTCACTGTGGCCAGCAGCCCGGGGTTCAGGGGCTCCTCGAAGCCTGGGGGTGTAGGGGGGCCGGGGGGCCCTGGACTCAAGGCAGTTGTCCAGGACAGGTGCTCAGGTCCAGACAGCACCGTGGGAAGGAAGTTCGATGGCTCAGCCAGTCCTGGCACTGGAAGGAGGGGGGCCTCCAGCTCCGTGGGGTGCGCCATGTCCCCAGTCTCTGAGCCAGTGGGAAGAGGAGAAGCCACGCCCCTGGTGGGCCACGCGTCACTGGGTGGAGGTGCCAGGTCCTCCTCCAGCCAGGGGTCCCCGGCCCCTGTCCCCAGCTGCATCCTGTCAGGACTCGGGGAGGAATGGGTTGAAGAGGTCTGCGTGGGGAGGGGGTGTCCAGGCAGGGGGAGCACCCTGGGGCCTGGGGTGCCCTCTGGGTCCTCAGGGCTCCACGGCGGGGGGCGTGGCAGGGGCTGGCCATCCTCCCTCACTAGCGGCTCATCCAGGCTGGGAGGGGCAGCTGGCGTGTTTGCATCGTTGACCAAAGCAGGGGGCCAGGGGGCTCTGGGGAGTTCAAGATCGGGGGTCCCCATGGGGGCCTCGTCCTCAGACAAGAAATTGGTCAAAGGAACATTCCTGGGGGCCTGCTCCAAGGGCGGGGAGGGCGAGGGGCCAGGTCCTCCTGGCTCTGACTCCTCGGTTCTAGAAGGTTCTTGGGTAGGCCTGGTGGTGGGCAGGTGCATCTGGGACGCGGCCGCCTGGGGCTCCTCGGAGGGGCCGTAGGACAGGTCCTCGTGGAAGTTGATGAAGTTGTAGTCGTAGTAGAAGTCATCCACAAACATGGGTGCGGGCAGGCCCGGGTCGGGGGCCACGCCAGCCTCCCCAATGGCGTTGCCGATGGCCACCGTGGGGCCGGGCCTGGGGGCGCCATGGCCCGGGATGAAGTCCACCTCGTTGAAGAGCTCGGAGCTGGGGAAGCCGCTGGCCGAGCCCTCGGGGTCGGGCCTGTCCGGGGGGCGCGGGCAGGGCGGCCCGGGGCAGATGGCCTCCTGAGCAGGGCGGTCGGCGGGGGTCGCAGGGGGAGCTCGTGTCGTTGGTGCAGAGCACTTCCCGGTGCCGGATTCCAGTCCCGCACGTCACTGAGCACTGGGGAGGCCGGGGCGGAGTGTGGGTGAGCACGGGCCACCAGCCAGCGCCCCGCTGCCCGGCCCCAGGCCAGGCCCAGCCAGCAAGACCAAGCTGTGGGGCCGGTGGCCGCACCTGTCACCCCAGCTCCTCAGGAGGCTGAGACCTGAGGACCACGGTTCAAAGCCAGCCTGGGCAGGAAAGTCTTTTGAGACTCATTACCAGTGAACCACCAAAAGCCAGAAGTGGCGCTCAAGTGGTAGAGAATCAGCCTTGAGCAAAAGAGCTCAGGCTCAGGCACAGGGCGCAGGCCCAGAGTTCAAGCCCCACGACAGACAAAAACACAAGATTTGGGGGTGAAGGATGGCCCAGGACTCCAGGCTGTGAGGACTCTGAGGGGCTCCAGGGGAGAACGGAGGGGGGCCCAGGCCTGGGGGGGGGGGACGGGGCTGCACTCACCTGAGACCAGTTGCCCACGGCCCACGTGGCGGGGCAGGCGAGGTGGCGGTTGCAGGGGGTCTCGGCGGGGGGCGGGGGCAGGGGCTCGCAGGCCGCGGGGGGCAGGGCGCTCTGCTCGTCCAGCCCGATGCTGCGGAGGCACAGCACGGCCCGGCGGGACACGCCTCGGGGTCCGCAGGAGCGCGAGCAGGGCTGCCACTCCCCGGCCCACCACCTGACGGGACACGGGGCGTCAGGAGATGGCGGCTCCCAGGGCAGGGGCAGGGCAGGGCAGGGCAGGGGCAGGGCAGGGCAGGGCAGGGCAGGGCAGGGCAGGGCAGGGGAAGGGCAGGGGAAGGGGAGGGCAGGGCAGGGCAGGGGCAGGGCAGGGCAGGGCAGGGCAGGGGCAGGGGAGGGCAGGGCAGGGCAGGGGCAGGGGCAGGGGAGGGCAGGGCAGGGGCAGGGGCAGGGCAGGGCAGGGCAGGGGCAGGGCAGGGCAGGGCAGGGGCAGGGCAGGGGCAGGGGCAGGGCAGGGCAGGGGCAGGGGCAGGGCAGGGGCAGGGCAGCAGGCAGGGCAGGGCAGGGCAGGGGCAGGGGCAGGGCAGGGCAGGGCAGGGCAGGGGCAGGGCAGGGCAGGGGCAGGGCAGCAGGCAGGGCAGGGCAGGGCAGGGGCAGGGCAGGGCAGGGCAGGGCAGGGCAGGGGCAGGGCAGGGGCAGGGCAGCAGGCAGGGCAGGGCAGGGCAGGGGCAGGGGCAGGGCAGGGCAGGGCAGGGCACGGCAGGGCAGGGCAGGGCAGGGGCAGGGCAGGGGCAGGGCAGGGCAGGGGCAGGACAGGGCAGGGCAGGGCAGGGGCAGGGCAGGGCAGGGCAGGGCAGGGGCAGGGCAGGGGCAGGGGCAGGGCAGGGCAGGGCAGGGGCAGGGCAGGGCAGGGCAGGGGAGGGCAGGGGCAGGGGAGGGCAGGGCAGGGCAGGGGCAGGGCAGGGCAGGGGCAGGGCAGGGCAGGGCAGGGGCAGGGGCAGGGCAGGGCAGGGCAGGGCAGGGGCAGGGCAGGGCAGGGCAGGGGCAGGGCAGGGGCAGGGGCAGGGCAGGGCACGGCAGGGCAGGGCAGGGCAGGGCAGGGCAGGGCAGGGCAGGGGCAGGGGCAGGGCAGGGCAGGGCAGGGCAGGGCAGGGCAGGGGCAGGGCAGGGCAGGGCAGGGGCAGGGGCAGGGCAGGGCAGGGCAGGGGAAGGGGCAGGGCAGGGGCAGGGCAGGGGCAGGGCAGGGCAGGGCAGGGCAGGGGAAGGGGCAGGGCAGGGGCAGGGCAGGGCAGGGCAGGGCAGGGCAGGGGCAGGGCAGGGCAGGGGCAGGGGAGGGCAGGGCAGGGCAGGGCAGGGGCAGGGGAGGGCAGGGCAGGGCAGGGCAGGGCAGGGCAGGGCAGGGCAGGGGCAGGGGCAGGGCAGGGCAGGGCAGGGCAGGGCAGGGCAGGGGCAGGGCAGGGCAGGGCAGGGGCAGGGGCAGGGCAGGGCAGGGCAGGGGAAGGGGCAGGGCAGGGGCAGGGCAGGGGCAGGGCAGGGCAGGGCAGGGCAGGGGAAGGGGCAGGGCAGGGGCAGGGCAGGGCAGGGCAGGGCAGGGCAGGGGCAGGGCAGGGCAGGGGCAGGGGAGGGCAGGGCAGGGCAGGGCAGGGGCAGGGGAGGGCAGGGCAGGGCAGGGCAGGGCAGGGGCAGGGCAGGGCAGGGCAGGGCAGGGGCAGGGCAGGGCAGGGCAGGGCAGGGGAAGGGGCAGGGCAGGGCAGGGCAGGGCAGGGGAAGGGGCAGGGCAGGGGCAGGGCAGGGGCAGGGGCAGGGGAGGGCAGGGCAGGGCAGGGCAGGGGCAGGGGAGGGCAGGGCAGGGCAGGGCAGGGCAGGGCAGGGCAGGGCAGGGCAGGGGAAGGGGCAGGGCAGGGGCAGGGCAGGGCAGGGCAGGGGCAGGGCAGGGCAGGGCAGGGGAAGGGGCAGGGCAGGGGCAGGGCAGGGCAGGGCAGGGCAGGGCAGGGGCAGGGCAGGGCAGGGGCAGGGGAGGGCAGGGCAGGGCAGGGGCAGGGGAGGGCAGGGCAGGGCAGGGCAGGGCAGGGGCAGGGCAGCAGGCAGGACAGGGCAGGGCAGGGGCAGGGGCAGGGCAGGGCAGGGCAGGGCAGGGGCAGGGGCAGGGGCAGGGCAGGGGCAGGGGCAGGGCAGGGCAGGGCAGGGCAGGGCAGGGCAGGGCAGGGGCAGGGGCAGGGCAGGGCAGGGCAGGGCAGGGGAAGGGGCAGGGGCAGGGCAGGGCAGGGCAGGGCAGGGCAGGGGCGGGGCAGGGCAGGGCAGGGCAGGGCAGGGCCAGGGCAAGTCTAGGGCCATGCTGGCTCCCTGTCCCTTGCGCTGGGCTCAAGCAGAAATAAGAGACCCAGAGAGGGGCCTCTGGAATAGTATCAGGATATTGGGGTTCACCTGGGGGGGCAGGGGTCCCCGCTGCATGTCCTCTGGAGGTCATCGGGCCGCTCCGTGGGGCCGCAGTGGTCCTCGTCCACCAGCGCTGCCTGCTGCCCCACACAGTGCACACGCTGCCTCTGTGTGCCTAGCACCACCAGGGACTCAGCCACGCCTGGCAAGCACCCACACCACCCTTGCCACCCAGGATGGGCACCGCTCCCCCCCCCCCCCTCGCCGCCGCCCCTCAGATGCCCAGAGGCAGAATCGAGAGGTTACAGGCTGGAGGCCCAGCCCCACCGCTGCCCGAAAACCTCAGGGCCATTCATGTGGCCTCCAGACCTCCACAGCCTGTGAAGCAACACTAACAGAGCCCAGCCCTGGGGCTCACGCCTGCCACCCCAGCTACTCGGAGAAGGCTGAGATCTGAGGATCAAGGTTCAAAGCCAGCCAGGGGTGTGGGGCACACAAACCTAAGACATTTTTTCTCTGCCAATAAACCAGCAAAAACCGGTAGTGGAGGTGCAGCTCAAGTGGTAGAGCACCAGCCATGAGCCACAAAGCTAAGTGACAGTGCCCAGGCCTGACTCTGAGCCCCAGTCCACACACGTACAGTGGCCTTGCAGTAAGGAGCGGCGTCCGGGGTCACACCCCTGCAGGCCCGGCCGGGCCCCTCACCTGTCCCGCACGTGACCGTGCACGGGCTCCACGGCCCGTAGTGCCAGGAGAAGTTGGGTGGCTGCACGTCGCTGGCACCGTCGGCCTCTCTGTGGATGGTGTACTCATAGTGTACCCCAGGATTGCTCTCCTGGAACAGAAGCTAGGGAGGACAAGAGGGAGGAGAGGGATCCCCTGCGCGACGCTGAGAAGCTGCCATAGCCCAGCCCACACTGGGAACTGCTGCCCACCACGGGCCCATTTTACACACGGGGAAACTGAGGCTGAGGGTTCCCCCTCCCCAGATCCCCAGGACCCCTCACCTGAATCCAGATGGGCTCGCTGGTAGGGCCTGGGGCCGTCAGGTTCTCCTGGTGGCCTGAGCGCGCGTAGGTGAATGCAGTGCCCGCCACGTGGTAGACCCCATTCCACTGGATGGTCCAGCCGCCGTTGAGGAAGTACTTGTCTGGATCCTCGCTCCGAAGGGCCAGGAAGTTGGCAGCCTCAGCCACCTCCTGGATGAGGATCTCTCGGGCTCCAGCAGGAATCCGCCCCACATCCACGTACCCTGCCGGCCAGAACCATGTACTGTGTACCCTGGTGGCTCACGCCTGTCATCCTAGCTACTCAGAAGGCTGAGATCTGAGGATCGCAGTCTGAGGCCAGTCCAGGCAGAAAAGGCCAAGAGATTCTCATCTCCGATGAACCAACAAAAAGCAGAGCTGTGGCTCAAGTGGTAGAGTGCTAGCCTTGAGCACAAAAAGCTGAACCAGCGTGTAAGGACCTGGGCTGGGCACCAGTGACTCATGCCTGTCATTCTAGCTACTCAGGAGGCTGAGGTGTGAGGATCACAGTTCGAGGCCAATCAGGGCAGGAAAGTCCGTGAGACTCTTTATCTCCAATGAACCACCAAAAAACCAGAAGTACAGCTGAGGCTGTGGCTCAAAGTCATAGAGCCCTAGCCTTGAGCAAAAAAAAAAAATCTCAGGGACAGTGCCCAGGTCCTGAGTCCAAGCCCCACAACCGACAAAGTAAAAGGAGGTGGTCACAAGGTTAAGAGCATCCCCTTCTTTCCTCCTCCCCCCGCCATAGCCCCTAGCCCTACCCAGGCCCTCGGCGTCCTCGAACATCTTGCTCACGGTGTGGCAGGTGGAGCCGTTACCACGGCAGACGCCACAGCGGTCCTCCACCGCGCCTGAGTCGATCTCGAAGTCGCAGCCCACGTTCTGCACACACACAGCACAGACACCCTGTATCTGCACCGCCCGCCTGCCCCGCCCACAGCACTGTGCGCGGGGAGGGGCCTGCCAGGCCCAGGAGCCGGACATGGGGTCCTCCCTCTGGGCCTGACCCTGCACAGCCCTACTGCCTGACCCCACATGAACCCCATTCCTGTGAGCCCCAAATGTGGAAGATGGATGCTGGTGACTCATGCCTGGCATCCTAGCTACTCGGGAGGCTGAGATCTGAGGATCGCAGTTCAAAGCCAGCCCAGGCAGGAAAATCTGAGAGACTCTTATCTCCAATGAACCAGCAAAAAGCCAGAAATGGAGACGTGGCTCAAGTGGTACAGCAGCAGCCGTGAGTGGAGCAAGCTAAGCAAGAGCATGAGGCCAAGTCCAAGCCCCAGGAAACACACACACACACACACACACACACACACACGGACGAAACCATGGCTGGAAACACAAGCAGGCAAGGGTGTGCAGCGCTGTCACTAGACACAGGAACAATGCCACCCATGTGGGTGCCAGCGGCTCACGCCTGCCATCCTAGCTACTTAAGGTTGCAATCTGAAGACCGTGTTCAAAGCCAGCCCAGGTGACTGGCATCTCCAGGGAACCAGCGAAAATGTGGAAGTGGAGCTGTGGCTCATGTGGTAGAGCATCAGCTTGAGAAACAACCACCACAAGCCAAGAGTACAAGGTCCTGAGTTCAAGTCCCAGGACTGGCACTAATAAAGATGATGATGATGGTGATGGTGATGGTGATGATGGTGATGATGATGATGGTGATGGTGGTGATGGTGATGATGGTGGTGGTGATGGTGATGATGGTGATGGTGGTGATGGTGATGGTGGTGATGGTGATGATGATGATGATGATGATGATGATGATGATGGTGATGATGATGATGGTGATGGTGGTGATGGTGGTGATGGTGATGATGATGGTGATGATGATGATGGTGATGGTGGTGATGGTGATGGTGGTGATGGTGATGATGATGATGATGATGATGATGGTGATGGTGGTGATGGTGATGATGATGATGATGTGTTCTACCCACACAACACTCCCGCACCCAGAGTCGTGCGCCACCCTTTAACCCCTTCCTGATGGGGAAGAGGCCCCTGGGCTGGAGTGGGAGTTCTGGGTTGGTATTTGGGGAGACAGTGTGTGGGGGTTCGGGGTCTGGAGTTCGGGGGCCCCCTGCTCCCCGGGCAAACCTTGCAGATGCCATTGATGCAGAGGTCGCGGCCGGCGCGGCCAGGGTAGCAGGGCGTGCCGTCAACCACGGCGTCTCGAAGCTTCTCGGCGAAGTACTCCTTGGCAGGTCGGCAGTGCAGCTCACAGGGGTGCTCTGGGGGTGCAAGGGGGACTCGTCACGGGGGGCGGGCGGCTGGGGGGGGCAGCCAGGGCATGGGGGGGCCCTGGACTCACCGTCATTCACCACTGGCACCCACGCGTGCAGCTGGCCCTTATAGACCCTGGAGTCGAACTGGCTGCACTGCACTTGGCGGAAGGAGGGGTAACCGGGGGGACAGGCCTGCAGGCTGCACAGCCGGGAGCGCTTCCGCTCCCCCACGCAGTACTTGCCCTCGTACTTGGGCCTGTGGGGGTGGGGGAGAGGGAGAAGAGCCAGGAGGCCTAGATCTGCACCCCTTTATTTATTACTACACCCCATCCCTAAACCGAGGCCCAAGGAGGAGGCAATGGGGAGCCCAGGCGCTCTGGGTCAGTGTCCGCCACTACAGAAGGGACTCAGAGGCTGGGACTCACAGTGGAGATGAGGGCTGTTGAGAGCCTGCTGCATCCTCACACTTGCTCTTGGTGGCAGCGCCCTGGGCCGGGTCTAGAGGAAGCCCCGGCCAGGCCAGGAGCCAGGGACACGGGGTGCACACCGCAGCCCAGCCTGACTCCACTGAAGCCCAGGGCACAGGAAAGGGCCTTGCCTCACTGAGTCCGTGTACACCCTCGCTTGAATGGTAGGGAGGGGATTTGAGCGCTTAAGATTTCTGAGGCCCAGGATAGAAGGACGAACCACGACCCTCTCCTGCCTCGCTCCGGCCAACCGCCTCCCACGAGTCTCACTTGTCCCTGGCTGCAACGGGGTCAGCAGCAGGGAACACTTCAGAGACACTGCCCCAGGCCAAGTGCAGTGGCTCACGCCTGTAATCAGGAGGCTGAGATCTGAAGATGGCAGTTCAAAGCCAGCCCGAGCAGGAAGTCCACCAGGCTCTTGTCTCCAATTCATCAAAAACCAGAAGCGGAGCCTTGGCTCAAAGTGATAGGAGCATTAGCCTTGAGCCCAAGCCCTGAGTTCAAGCCCCACAACCAATCAAAAGAAATTCCCTGGGAGTGGTCCCCTGCGTCTGGCTGGCGGCCTCTGCCGGGTCCCACAGGCCGCCCAGCCGCACTTACACGGGCTGAGTGCACTGCCGCTCCGCGCTCTGCACACCCACACCGCAGCTCCTCGAGCACGCAGACCAGGGGCTCCAGCCAGACCAGCCGCCGTCCACCGCCTTGGGCTCAAAGCCCACCGGGACGCACTCCCCGTTGAGACACCACTGCCGAGACACGGAGGCAGAACAAGCCCGGTCAGTCACACTCTAGTCAGAACAAGGAGGGGCTCACGCCTGTCCTCTCGGCTACTCAGGAGGCTGAGATGTGAGGATCTCAGTGCGAAGCCAGCGGGGCAGGAAAGTCCGTGAGATTCTTATCTCCAATGAACCAGCACAAAGCTGGAAGGAGAGCTGTGGCTCAAGTAGTAGAGTGCCAGTCTTGAGGAAAAGAGCTCAGGGACAACGGCCAGGCCCCACCAACAACAAGAAAATTAAAAAAAATAGCTGGGCACTGGTGGCTCATGCCTGTCATCCCAGCTACTCAGGAGGCTGAGATCTGAGGATCACGGTTCAAAGCCAGCCTGGACAGGAAAGTCTGTAAGACTTATTTCCAATAAACTACTAGAAAACCAGAAGTGGCACCGTGGCTCAAGTGGTAGAGCGCTCGCCTTGAGCTGAAGAGCTGAGGGACAGCGCCCAGGCCCAGAGTTCAAGCCCCATGACCGACAAAATAAATAAGTGAAAGAAAAATCGAGCACCTGCTTTCTGAATTGAAAATACACAGGACGTAAGACAAATGAAGGCTGGCCCTGGAACAAAGCACAGCAGGAATTGAAGCTCCCCCAGGCCCGTGATCCCCCCAGATCATGGGCTGCAGCGCCTCCTACCTTCTCTTCTCCACACTGGGTGCCGTCCACGGCCGCGTCCAGCTTAGAGTGGCAGGTGGTCCCCACAGAGCACCAAAGGGTGTGGCACACGTTCTGTGAAGAGCAAGCACAGGCCATTGCCACGCCCCCTGCCCACCCCACCCCACCCACCACTCAAGGCTGGTGCTCTACCACTTGAGTCACCTCCCCACTTCCGGCTTTTTGGTGGTTCACTGGTGACTCCAGGCGAGCGCTCTACCACTTGAGCCTCAGCGCCACTTCTGGTTTTCTGGTGTCTTATTGGAGATAAGAGTCTCATGGACTTTCCTGCCAGCGCTGGTTTCGAACTGTGATCCTCAGATCTCAGCCTCCCTGCCTCCAATCTTCTGTACCTTTTCCATCTCCAGTCCCGTCTCAAAGCTCCAGCCACGAGGTGTCATGGGAGCTCTGAGTGGGACTTGGAGGACAGATACCACCCCTCCCAGGGCTTAGGAGATTCGCACTCCGGTCACCCCACCTCAGGTGGAACTTTTATCTTCCCCAGCTAGCTGAGAGTCTAGCCTGAGTGCCCCCATTAGTAAAATGATTGACTCAGACTGACTCTAGCTGAGCTCTGGAGGCTCACGCCTCTCATCCTAACTACTCAGGAGCCTGAGATCTGAGGATCATGGTTTGAAACCAGCCTGGGCAGCAAAGTCCATGAGACTCTTATCTCCAATGAGCCACCAGAAAACTGGAAGTGGCGCTGTGGCTCAAGGTTAGAGCGCTCGCCTGGAGTAAAAGAGCTGAGGGACAGCGCCCAGGCCATGAGTTAAAGCCCCATGACTGACCAAAAGCAAAGAAAGCAGTGTCTTCTAGGTTGGTTTCCAGAGGCTGCCCCTGCCACCCTGGCCCCAGCCCCAGCCACTCCCCTCCACGCCCCAGCCCGCCTGCGCCCCACTCACATCCATGTCGCTGCAGAAGGAGGAGAAGCCCCCGTACTGCAGGCGGCACTGGTGGCTCACGTCGTACAGGACGCCGGGTGGCACCGAGGGGAAGCGGATCACGTCCTTGGCGGGAGGGTCGTCCAGGCACGCACCCCACCCGCGGCTGGAGATGGCAAGGAGGACGCATGAGGGCCTGTGCTGGGGTTACGGCAGGGACGCCACGGAGCCCAGGGAAGGGGGGCCCCGGGTGGGGGTGGGGGGCGAGAGGGGCCCGCAGGAAGGCCTCTGCACTGGAGAACTCCAGCCAGGAGCCTGTCACCCCAGCTACTCAGGAGGCTGAGATCTGAGGATCGTGATTTGAAGCCAGCCTGGGCAGGAAAAGTCCAGGAGACTCTTCTCTCCAATGAACCAACAAAAAGCCAGAAGTGGAGCTGTGGTTCAAGTGGTTGAGCACCAGCCTCGAGGGAAACATGTTAGGGACAGTATTCAGGCATTGAGTTCAAGCCTCAGGACTAGCGTGTGCCTGCGCATGCTCACACACACACACGCACACACACGCACACACACACTCTCTCTCTCTCTTTCATGTTAACAGCAGTGTGTATACTGGACAGCCGGCAGCTGGCCTTTCCTTCCGCTGGCCGGCTCACCACCCCATTGCATGCCCCAGATGTCTGCGGCGGCCGGCCCTTCCCCGAGTGGCCCTTCCCCGAGTGCTAATTATAGCAGCTCAGAGCAGCCGGTGGCCGTAACTGCAGGAAGCCCATTGTGTCCTCCGCACGGCATAGCGCCACTGGCCAGCTGTGCGCCCGCGCCCGCCCTGCCCGGTTCTGGACGTGGAGTTGCTGGATTGGGGTGGGGGGAGGGGGAATCCAAGGGAAGTGAACACCCCCCGCCCCTTAAGCCCTCCTCAGTCAGGCTCTGGGACTCCCTCAGGCCAGAGCGGACAATGCAGGTGTTGAACCGCCCTCCCCCACCCCATCCGGGGACTCCCACATGCAGAGAGCTTCCTCAGGGCCCACTCCACCTCTCTCCACGCCCTGATCACCCCCGGGGTCACACTGACCACGTGGGATCGTGCTGACCATCTCCAGGGACACGGTCACATTGACCACCCGGGGTCACGCTGACCACCCCAAGGTTACCACAGGCCCCTTCTAGAACCCCATGTGCACTGGTGCCCATCCTCACAGGCTGGAGAGCCCAGATCCAGTCGTGTGTAGATCAGTGAGGTGTGCCGAGCAGTCTTAGTTCTTTATTTCTTTAGTTTTGGTGCCAGTATTAGGGAAGGCTTGAACTCTGGGCCTGGGCGATATCCCTCAGCTCTTCAGCTCAAGGTTAGCGCTCTACTATTGAGCCACAATGCCACTTCTGGCTTTTTCTGTTTATGTGGTGCTGAGGAATCGAACCCAGGGCCTATGCACGCGAGGCAAGCACTCTACCACTGAGCCACCTTCCCAGCCCGGTCCCTCAGCTTTTTGCTCAAGGCTAGCTAGGATGCTACCACTTCAGCCACAGACAGCTCCACTTCTGGCTTTTTGCTGGTTAATTGGAAATAAAAGCCTGACTCTGTGTGTGTGCACGCGCGCATGTGCACATATGTACACACACATGTGTGCATCAATTCTGGGGATTACACTCAGGGCCTAGACACCATCTCTGAATTTTTGAGCCACACCTCTATTTCTGGTTTTCTGGCGATTAACTGGATAAGCGTCTCCTGGATTTTCCTGCCCAGGCTGGCTTGGAGCCATAATCCTCAGACTTGTCTCCTGAGTAGCTGGGATTACAGGCTGATAGACAGAGAGTTGCTGGGATCTCAGAAAGCGCCCCTGTCCCCAGGCGTTGAGCTCACTTGATCATTTCCCCATTCTCTCTGGGTCCAGCCTGTTTCTAGCTGCAGCCTCTGCAAGGAGACAAAGCTTGGGAGGGAGACAGGTGCTCCTGTGCCCATCCCTTCCTTCCACCTGCCACCTGAGCCAAGGTCATGGAGCTGAAGACTGAGAGCCATGGTCATAGAGCCAAAGGCCATAGAGCTGAAGACCTACAGCCACAGGCATAGAGCCAAGGTCATGGAGCCAAAGTCATGGAGCTGAAGACCTAGAGACAAGGCCATGGAACTGCAGTCATAGAGCTAAAGTCATGGAGCCGAGGCCGTGGAGCCGAAGACCTAGAGCCATGGTCATAGAGCCAAAGGCCATGGAGCTGAAGACCTACAGCCACAGGCATAGAGCCAAGGTCATGGAGCCAAAGTCATGGAGCTGAAGACCTAGAGCCAAGGTCATGGAGCTGAAGTCACAGAGCCAAAGTCACAAAGCCCAGGTTCACAGGGACAGGGGAAGGTGTGGCCTAACCAACAGGAGGTGGTTTTCTTCCTCTGCCTACAGGCTCCAGGCTCTGAGAGGCTCTGGGTGGCCCAACCTCTCAGTTTCTCCCTCCTACTGACGTCAAGCTCTGGGCCAAGCCCCTGTACATTCCAACAACTGAATGAAGAAATGAGCTTGTGTAGCTGCCAGTCCCCGGGTCAGCGGCAGCCTGGGTGGGGCGGCTAGGAACAAACCCTAAGGGTATTTGGGGTGCCCGCTATTATGAATTCACAGTGGATCTGGGAGTGGGGGGAGATGCTTCCCCTTCAGCCTCCCCTAGGACTCAAGTTTCTGTGAGAAGTCACTTGGTAATGGTAAAAAAAATAAAAATAACAGCAGAGCTGGGTACCGGTGGCTCAGGCCTGTCATCCTAGCTTCTTAGGAAACAGATCTGAAGGTCATGGTTAGAAGCCAGCCCAGGAAAAAAGTCTCCTTGAGACTCTTATCTCCAATTAACCATTCAAAACCCAGAAGTGATGCTGTGGCTCAAAGTGGTAGAGCACTAGCCTTGAGCACAAAGAGGCTCAGGGACAGGGCTCATACCCTGAGTTCAAGCCCCACAACCAACAACAACAACTAATAATAATAATAGTAATAATAAAAATAGCAGCAGTAGTAGCCAATGGTAAATATGAGTTAGACTCTCGGCAGTCCCTCATTGAATGAAGCAGACTGATTTGTACAGGCCTAAGGGCTAAGGTCAATCATATGCCCTGAGAGTCAAGGCCTGGGCCCCAGACCAGGTTTTTTGTTTTGTTTTGCTGGTCGTGGGGCTTGAACTTAGGGTCTAGGTGCTGTTTCTAAGCTTCTTTTTGTTCATGACTAATACTCTACCACTTGAGCCACAGAACCAATTCCAGATTTTTCTGAGTAGTTTATTGGAGATAGGAGTCTCACCAACTTTCCTGCCTGGGCTGGCTTCAAACCCCGATCCTCAGATCTCAGCCTCCAGCGTAGCCAGGATTACAGGTGTGCTCACAGCCCAGCTCCCTGTCCAGGTTTTAACCAGCTGACCTAATGGCCTGCAGCCCGGCTCTTACCCCCAGGGGCACTTGAAGCCCATTGCAGAGTGGACAGAAATTCTAGAAAACCAGATCTGATGTCCTGTACCCTGCACAGAGAGCTCTGCCTGTGTGTCTGGAGCGTCTCTGTGATGACACCGAAGGGGCAAACGGGGCATAAATCCACCCTGGACAAAGCAGGAGCAAGAGGCAATGACAACACATGAGTGATGTGGACAGAACTCTGAAAGCTGGGAAGCAGATGTCAACGGAAGCTGATTCCGTAGAGCGATGGAGGCCGAGAGCCAAGGGCCTCCAGGGAGAAAAGACAAGCAGACTCTAGAAGGCTCTGAAATGGAGAACTAAGGGACCCCTTAGAAATCTGGAAACCAGGAGGCCTTGGGAATAGAGGCCAGCTGAAAGTTTTTAAGAAGTACTGATCAGAAAGCTGGGAATGTGGCTTAGTGGTAGAGTGCTTGTCTAGCCAGAAGTGGTGCTCTGGATCACATGGTAGAGTGCTAGCCGTAAGCAAAAAGAAGCTCAGGGACAGTACCCAGGCCCTGAGTTCAAGCCCCAGGACTGGCAAAAGAAAAAAAAAAGCTATTGATCAGCCTCTTGTGGTAGCTCACACCTATAATCCTGACTCCTTGCGAGGTAGAAATCAGGAGGATTGTAGTCTGAGGCCAAGCCTGGGGAAAAAGGCTGAGGCTCTTCCTAAAACATAGCTACAGTGTGAATTGGGAACATGGCTTAGTGGTAGATGCTTGCCTAGCATGCATGGAGCCCTGGGTTCGATTCCCCAAAACCATATAAACAGAAAAAGCTGAAAATGGCACTGTGGCTCAAGTGGTAGAGTGCTAGCCTTGAGCAAAAGAAGCTCAGGGACAATGCTGGGGCCCTGAGTTCAAGCCCCAGGACTGGCAAAATAAATAACTACAGTTGCTCTCTGGGGACACTTGAGTCACTCAGAGAAACCACACAGATTCTTGCTGAAGGAAAAGCCAGGAACTGATAGCCCTGATGACTCAGACCTGTCACACCAGCTACTCAGGAGGCTGAGATCTGAGGATCCTGGTTCAAAGCCAGCCGAGGCAGAAAGTCCCTGAGCCTCTTATCTCCAGTGAAGCACCAGACAACCTCAAGTGGCACTGTGGCTCAAGCGGTCGAGGGCTAGCCTTGAGCAAAAGCAACTCGGGGACAGGGCCTAGGCCCTGGGTTCGCGCCCCACCACTTACTTCTTGGTACTTTTTTCTCGGTGTCTGGGTGCAATGGGGCTGGCTAATCCCTTCTCTAGCTGCCTGGCTGACAGGCAGGTAGGGAGGTGGGGGCGGGGCCTGGAGGACGGGCCGTCTGGGGCGGAGCCAGGAGTGGGGCCGGGACGCCTGGGGCGGGGCAGGGGCGGAGCCGGGGGGTGGGGGCGGGGCCAGGAGCACTGGGGGGGCAGCCTGGTGCAGGGCAGGGAAGCCTGGGGCGGGGCCAGGGGCGGGGCCAGGGGCGGGGCCGGGAGGACTGGGGCGGGGCGGCCTGGTGCAGGGCCGGGAAGCCTGGGGCGGGCCAGGGGGCGGGGCCAGCACGCGGGGGGCTGGGCCAGGAGGACTGGGGCGGGGCCGGGAAGCCTGGGGCGGGCCAGGGGGCGGGGCCAGCACGCGGGGGCGGGGCTGGCGGGGCGGGACTTACTCCAGGAACCGAGTGATGTACTGGCGGCTGCAGCGGGACCAGGCGAGCGGCGCCGAGTCGTACAGGAGCTGTGGAGACATGATGGAAGGCCGTTTCCCACGGGGCTCGCAGTCATTGCCGCTGCCGTCATGCTGAATGCCAAAACTGTGAGGATACAGACAGACCCCAGGTGGGCGAGCGCCCGGGGGCAGCGCGTCCCCCCTCAAGGCTCCCCAGGGCTGGGTGGCCTGGAGAAAGTCACTGTCCCTCTCCGAGCCTCAGTGCCCTCAAGCAAAATGTGGGTGTGAAATGACTGTGCCTCAAGCTGGACGCCTGTCATCCTGGCTACTCGGGAGGCTGAGATCTGAGGATCTGGGTTCGAAGCCAGCCCAGAGAGGAAAGCCTAAGACTTATCTCTGATTGACAAGCAAAAAAGCCATAAGTGGAGCTGTGGTTCAAGTGGTAAAGCACCCAGGCTTTGGTAAAAAAAAGAAAAAAAAGCTCAGGGACAGCATCCAGGCCCTGAGTTCAAGAACAAGTACCAGCACAAAACAGCAACAACAAAATACATCGTACTCATAAATTGACGTTGAACTGAAAACCCCTTTGTAGGGCTGGGAATGTGGCTTAGTGGCGGGGTGCTTGCCTAGCATGCATGAAGCTGGGTTCGATTCTTCAGTACCACCAACACAGAAAAACCTGGAAGTGGCACTGTGGGGGACAGTGCCCAGGCCCTGAGTTCAAGCCTCAGGACTGGTACATAAAAAGAAAAAAGTAAAGAATGATTTCCTGTCTATCACAATGTGGTTCAACTAAAGCTGGCCCTAGCCTAGCCCAGCCCTGCCCGTCCCCAGGGATGCAGTGCCCTGTGAAAGTGGCTAGCCCGCTGGGGCCAGGGTGGCTGTGGCCACGCGGGGGTTTACCTGTGGCCGAGCTCATGAGCCACGGTGAAAGCCAGCGGCAGGCCGGTGTCCTCGCTGACGCTGCAGCTGCGCAAGGGCTGGCACATGCCCGCCACGTGGGACAGGCCCAAGGTTTCACAGGGCCGGTTCATGGCCACGCACAAATCCTTCCTGCACAGGCAGAGAAGCGGCCAGGGCTGGAGGAAGCCAGGAAAGACTGGACAGAAAGGCCACTCCGCTTCCTACTATCCTGGGCCATCCAGGGCCATCTGGGCTCGGGGCCCCAGTGCACACAACCCTTCCCACATCTGCTGGGGAACTGGGAAGCAGATGTGAACCCAACATAATAAGGGGCGCCATTTCCATGCTCCACTGGAGGCCAGCAGAGGGAGCATCACTCCGAGTCTGGGACTCTAAACAAGCTAGCTTTCTGATGCACCTGCTGGTGGATGTACAAACTACATAGGTGATGGAAGTACAGTGATTCCTGCTACTCAGGACGTGAAGAGTGGAGGATAGTGTTTCAAGGCCAGCCTGGGAGAAAAGAAAAGTCAGTGAGACTTCATCTCAACTGACAAGCTGACATGTAAGAAGGAGGATCACTGTCCAAGACTGGCAAAAATGGAAGCCACTACCTGAAAAATAAAGCAAAAAGGAGGACAGGTAGCTCAGGCCTGTCATCCTAGCTACTCAGGAGGCTGAGATCGAAAGATCAGTGATTCGAAGCCAGAGAGGAGGAAAGTCTGTGAGACTCTTATCTCGAAATAATAACAGAAAAAGATGGAACTGGAGCTGTGGCTCTAGTGGTAGAGTGCTAGCCTGAAGCAAAAGCTCAGGAACAGTGCCTAAGCCCTGAGTTCAAGCCCCAGGACTGACACACAGAAACAGAATTACTGCAAGATGAAAAGGAGGCTAAGGCTATGGCTCAAGTGGGAGAGAACCTACCTGACAAACTCAGGGTCAGAGTTCAAGTGCTGTACCACCACACACACACACACACACACACACAGAGTGCTGGTGGAAGACAGCTGTAGGCCAAAGGTCTGCAGCCCTCCGGATAATCAGGCTCCCTACAGGCAGGACTGTATCCCACCACGCATGCGCACAGGCAGCGCTGTGTTCCCACCTCCACGCATGCGCACATGCAGGGTTATACTCCCCAGACACACGTACACGCAGAGCAGTACTCCACGCATGCGCACACGTGAGGCTCTACTCCCCAGGCACGCGCACATGCAAAGCTGTACCCCCACGCATGCGCACAGGCGGGGCTGTATTTCCCCAGGCACGCGCACATGCAGAGCTGTACCCCCACGCATGCGCACAGGCGGGGCTGCACTCCCAAGGCACGCGCACATGCAGAGCTGTACCCCCACGCATGCGCACAGGCGGGGCTGTACTCCCAAGGCACGCGCACATACAGAGCTGTACCCCCATGCATGCGCACAGGCGGGGCTGTATTTCCCCAGGCATGCGCACAGGCGGGGCTGCACTCCCAAGGCACGCGCACATGCAGAGCTGTACCCCCACGCATGCGCACAGGCGGGGCTGTACTCCCAAGGCACGCGCACATACAGAGCTGTACCCCCACGCATGCGCACAGGCGGGGTTGTAGTTCCCAAGGCACGCGCACATGCAGAGCTGTACCCCCACGCATGCGCACTGCGGGGAGGGCTGGCAGTACCTGGTGAGCAGGATGGCGGTGTCGTGGTGCTGGGGATGGCTGTCTCCCTTCATGTTGATGCTCTTCTGCCACCTGCAGAAGCTCCCTAGGGTGTTGTCCGCGTGATGCGTGATCTTTAAGTCCTCCTGGGGACAGAGAGCCGTCAGGGATGCCTCAGCCCGAGAGATGGCGCCAGTGCTGAGAGCAACAGGAGTCGCAGGCCAGGGACAGGAGGGAGGCCGCCGGGCCTCCACTCACCAGCTGGGCCTCCCCTCCCGCAGACATCTCGTAGGAGAGATCTGACACCTAACCGAGGGGAGTCATGGACCCAAAATGAGCGAGTCAGGCACGGGTACACATGCTGACATCCACCTACTCAGGAGCCAAACTCCGAGGATCACAGTTCGAAGCCAGCCCAGACAGGAAAGTCCGTGAGACTCTTTATCTCCTCAATGAACCAGCAAAAAGCCGTAAGTGGAGCTTTGGCTTAAGTGGTAGAGCACTAGTCTTGAGCAAAAACACTCGGGTTGGGTGCTGGTGGCTCACACCTGTAATCCTAGCTATTCAGGAGGCTGAGATCTGAGGATCGCAGCTCCAAGCAGCTTGGGCAGGAAAATCTGCGAGACTTATCTCCAATGAATCATCAGAAATCCAGAATTGGCTCAAGTGGTAAGAGCTCCCTCCTTGAGTTGAAGAGCTCAGGGATAGCGCCCAGGCCTAGAGTTTAAGACCCACAACCGACCAAAATATAAAGCACTCAGAGACAGCGTGCAGGACCTGAGTTCAAGCCCAAGGACGGACAGAGGAAAAAGATTTTAAAAGTACCAGGTTTAGCCAGATGCCAGTGGCAAACACCTGTAATCCTACCTACTCGGGAGGCTGAGATCTGAGGATTGCGGTTCAAAGCCAGCCCGGGCAGAAATATCCGTGAGACTCTTATCTCCAATAAACCACTAGAAAACCGGAAGTGGCGCTGTGGCTCAAGCAGTAGAGCGCTTGCCTTGAGCTGAAGAGCGCTTGCCTTGAGCTGAAGAGCGCAGGAACAGCTCCCAGGCCCAGAGTTCAAGCCCTATGACTGGCAAAAAAAAAAAAAAGTACCAGGTGGCAGTGGCTCAAATCTGCCATCCTAGCTACTCAGGAGGCTGAGATCTGAGGATTAAGGTTCAAAGCCAACCTGGGCAGGAACGGCCATGAGACTAATTAATTACACCAAAAAGCTAGAAATGGTGGTAGAGCACTAGACCAGCCTTGAGGGGAAGGAAAAAAAAAAAAAAAAAAGGCTCAGGGAGAGCGCAGAGGCCGAGTGCAAGCCCCAGGACTGGTGAAGAAAAGGAAAGTAAGCGAGGACACTGGTCAGCATCGAGGGCTGCGGTCACGTGACTGCTCACCTCGTCCTCCAGCAGCACCAGACGCACGATGGTGATGTGGATGGGGTTTCCAATGCTAGGATGGTGAAACAGGCTTGCCACCTGGGAGAGAAAGCGGGGGGACAGAAGGGAGAGGGGAGAGGAGGAAGCAGGGCTCACCTGTGTACCCATGTTCACACACAGGGCTGAGCACACAGGGACACACACCAGATCCTGTGTGTCTCCAGGCCTGCACACACACACTGCTCCAGCTCCCAACCCCAGCAATGCCGCGATCCAGGGCACACAGCTCTTTGGAGCCATCTGCCAGATCTCACTACTCTACAGAGCCAGCTGGCAGTCTGGGTCTCTAAATGCTGCTTTGGGGGAGGCCAGGACCAGCCTGTAAGAAGTGGACACCTGAGTGGACCTGGGAGGGGGGCTGGGGGTGGGGTGCAGGCCGGTGGAGTTCCCATCTTAAGTGCTGGGATTACAGGCCTGCACCTCCCTCCCTCCCTTCCCAATTTACAAAGTAAGGACAGAGGCTCCAGCCTGGTCCAGACCTTTGGCCTCCTCTCCTCTCCCCATTCTCAACACAGGGCCTTTGCACACACTGTGCCCGCAGCCTGAACTAGTTTCTCTCCCCTAGTACTGAATCTAATTTTCCCCTCTATCTCTCAGCCTTTGTAGATCCTTTATTCAACACTCCCGGTAACAATTTGGTGAATGAATGAATGAATCTTGGACTATTTCCAATATATCACTTTATTTTAAAATAACCGGTAGAAAATGAGCACTGTACCCCAGACTAAGTCAGACCAAAGCAACAATGGCAGGGCTGGGCGCTGGTGGCTCACGCCTGTCATCCTAGCTGCTCAGGAGGCTGAGGTCTGAGGATCACAGTTCAAAGCCAGCCCATGCAAGAAAAGTCTGTGAGACTCTTATCTCCAATAAACCACCAGAAAACCGGAAGTGGCTCTGTGGCTCAAATGGTAGAGCACTCGCCTTGAACACAGAGAGGCTCAGGGATAGCGCCCAGCTCCCGAGTTCAAGCCCCAGGCCTGGCAAAAACAAAAAAACAACTAGCTTTGACCTTCCCCATCTACCCAATTAACAGCATCCCCGAAGCCTGAACACGGGGGCTCCCCTCACTGGAAAGACTGAGAGAAGTCATGGAGACACAAACACGAGGCCGAGGCCAGGGAAGGTGATCTAAGGGCCAAGGAGCCATGGAGGCGGCCATGGCAGGGGGAGAAGCTGCCCGGGGTGCTGGGCGGGTGAGAGCACGGGCGGTAGGGGCCAGGCAGGCAGGGGCATCAGAATGGCGGCGGCCCTGACCCTGACCTACAGCCACACAGTGATGGCCGGACCCCAGGACCCCAGAGGCCGGTGTGGGATGGTGGCCAGCGGAGGCAGGGGAGGTAGGTGGAGCCTGTGGTACCCCCTCCAGTGGTACTCTGCCCAGCACTCTGGGCAGCCGGGACAAACGCAAGGGATAGGGTCTAAAAGCCCCTTGGGCCAGCACCCTGCACAACTGCCCTTTCTTTTCTATTTGCCCATCCTGGGGCTTGAACTCAGGGCCTGAACGCTGTCCCTAGGTTTTTTTCTCGAGGCTGGAGCTCTACCACTTGAGCCATAGCTTCATTTCTAGTTTTTTGCTGGTTCGTGGGAGATAAGTCTCATGGACTTTCCTGCCTGGGCTGGCTTTGAACCACGATCATCAAATCTCAGCCTCCTGAGTAGCTGGGATTACAGTTAAGCATCTGGCTTAACTTCTGGCTTTTTGCTGGTTCATTGAAGATATAGAGTCTCACGGACTTGCCTGCCCCGGCTGGCTTTCAATCCATGATCCTCAGGTCTCAGTCTCCTGAGTAGCTTGGATTACATTGCCCACCACCCCCCCCCACTCCCCACCCCCACCCTCCACCCCCCTGCTTAAAAACTGCCCTTTCTAAGGGACCCCACCTGGTTCTCAGGAGCCTGAAGCCCTTCCTGCTTAGGGCCCAGCTTTGGGGTCCAGCTCACCAGGACACTCTCTCCTGCCCCCCATCTCCCCTGCCCCTCCCACAGCAAGCTTACCATGTTCATGATGGTCAGCACGTAGCTCTCCACCTGCGGCTGCCCATGATACTCCACCATTTTGCTATCGGCCACCACCAGCGTCTCCACCCACTTCTCCCTGCTGACCGAGCGTGGCTGCATGCGCCTGGACTGCTGGCGCCGCTGACGCTGCTCCCACAGCTCACGCTGGGTCTCCGGGTCTGAGGACCCTGTGGGCCCTAGACGGGGTGGGATAAGATGAGTGAACTCTCTTAGACCCATGGAAACAGTGCAGGGAGGAGGGAAAAGACCCGGGACTTCCCTCCTGGGTCTGCTTCAGCTCCATGCTGTGCAACCTTCACCCTGTCACTGGGATTCCCAGGGCAATCTGCCTTAGTCCGAGCTTGAGAAGTGTTAAGCCAGGCGTTGTGGCTCATGCCTGTAATCCTAGCTATTCAGAAGGCTGAGATCTGAGGATCATAATCTGAAACCAATCCCAGGTAGGAAGTCTGTGAGATTCTGTGTGTGTGTGTGTGTGTGTGTGTGTGTGTGTGTGTGTGTGTGTGTGTGTCTGTCTGTCTGTCTGTCTGTCTGTCATTGTGGGGCTGGAACTCTGGGCCTGGGTGCTGCCTCTGAGCTCTTCAACTCAAGGTACCACTTGGAGCCATAGGACCACTTCTGGTTTTCTGGTGGTTCATTGGAGATAAGTCTCACAGACTTTCCTGCCCAGCCTGGCTTTGAACCTTGATCCTCAGATCTCAGCCTCCCAAGTAGCTAGGATTATAGGCATGAGCCACCAATGCCTGGCTGATTCTTTTTTTTTTTTTTGGTCATGGGTCCTGAACTCTGGGCCTGGACACTATCCCTCAGCTCTTCAGCTCAAGGCTAGCGCTCTACCACTTGAGCCACAACACCGCTTCTGGCTTTTTCTGCTTATGTGGTGCTGAGGAATTGAACTCAGGACCTCATGCATGCGAGGCAAGCACTCTACCACTGAGCCACCTTCCCAGACCACTTGGCTGATTTTTTTTTTTTGGTCCGGTCGTGGGGCCTGAACTCTGGGCCTGGGCACTGTCCCTCAGCTCTTCAGTTCAAGGCTAGCGCTCTACCACTTGAGCCACTGCGCCACTTCTGGCTTTTTTCGTTTTGCTTATGTGCTGCTGAGGAATGGAACCCAGGACCTCATGCATGCAAGGCAAGTGCTCTACCACTGAGCCACCTTCCCAGCCCCCCACATGGCTGATTCTTAACCCCAACAAACCACCAAACAAAAGCCTCCTCTTCTGTGGAGACATTGCTCAAGTGGTAGAGCAACAGCCTTGTTTAAAAAACTAAAGGACAGCCGGGCGCTGGTGGCTCACGCCTGTAATCCTAGCTACTCAGGAGGCTGAGATCTGAGGATCGCGGTTCAAAGCCAGCCCGGGCAGGAGAGACCGTGAGACTCCTATCTCCAATAAACCACCAGAAAACCGGAAGTGGCGCTGTAGCTCAAGTGGTAGAGCGCTCGCCTTGAATGCCTGAGGCCCTGGGTTCGATTCCTCAGCACCACCTAAGCAAAAAGAAAAAAGCCAGAAGTGGTGCTGTGGCTCAAGTGGTAGAGCGCTAGCCTTGAGCTGAAGAGCTGAGGGACAGCACCCAGGCCCAGAGTTCAGGCACCACGACCAGACCCAAAAAAATAATAATAATAAAATAAAAAGCTAAAGGACAACACCCAAAGCCCTAAGTTCAGGCTCCAGCATCCGTACCAGCAAAGCAAGAAACGGAGTCCCTGACTCAGTTTCCCCCTCCTTTATCCAGGTGTCAGCGTCTCCCAGCACAGGCAGACTCCACAGTCAGACGCCAGTCTGAGGAGACTGCCCAAAACTCGCCCAGGCAACTAGGGAAACTGAGGTCAAGGGGTTTGCCTTCATGGATGTTTCTGGCAGTCTTGGGCTGTGGGCAGCTTCAGGCTAGAGCATCAGCCACTCCAATGACAGAGGCTAGTTACTCCAGGGTGAAAGTGAGGCGGACAGGAAAGGGGGTGCTCATCTGTGAGGAGGGAGCTGGGGACGGGGGAGGAACAAAGAGCCCCAAAGCCAGGAAGAGAGATTAGAGAGAACAAAGAGAGTTAGTCCAGGCTGATCGGTTGGAGCAGACCTGAAAGGCCAAAGCTGTACGCTCACAGGACACCTAAAGATTTGGGCTACTGGCTCATGACCGTAATCCCAGCTACTCAGGAGGCTGAGATCTGAGGATCATGGTTTGAAGTCAATCGAGGGCAGAAAAGCCTGAGAGACTCTTTTATCTCCAATTAACTGACAACAAGCTGGGAAATAGCGCTGTGGCTCAAGGTGCTAGAGCACAAGCCTAGAGCAAAAGCACTCAGGGACAGCGCCCAGGCCCTGAATTCAAGCCCCACAACTGACACACACACACACACACACAAAAGGGCCCTCTGTGTCTCCAAAGAGGAACATACCTTGTACCCCACAGGTACCTGGAGCCCCAGAGCCTTGACGCTCAGGAGTCTGGCGCTTGTATATCAGGTGGGGCTGCGCATGGCCAGGCCGGGCTGGGGCTCCCTCCAGCGGCTCTATGAAGTAGTCCTCGTTGGAGAGCTGGAATACACCTTTCTAGGGAGAAAAATATCAGGGTCACAGAAGTGGGGGTGCATGCACTGGCAGCCCCTCCCACCTTCCCCAACTAAGTCATACTTCACTCATTCCCACACTGATTGTGTGTGTGTGTGTGTACAGAGTACCGGGACTTGAACCCAGGGCCTCACATTGTCACTTGGCCTGATCACTCAAGGCAGATGCTCTACCACTTGAGCAACACACAACTCCACTTGTGGCTTATTTTTCTGTGTATGTGTGGTTAAGTGAAAATAAGATTCTCACACTTTCCTGCCTAGGCTGGCTTCAAACAGTGATCCTCAGATTTCAGCCTTCTGAGCAGCTGGGATGACAGGCATGAACACTTCCTCTGTACCTCTGCCTGGAATGTTCTAGCCTGCCATTTTCCTCCCCAGCCAGAACTTTCAAAATGAGGCTCAGGAACCCCTCCCAGAGGAGGCTGCTCCCCACATCCACCCAGAATGGGGAAATCTATGAATAAACTGACAAGATGGTGGCCTCTGTGTACAGCTGTCATCTCGAGCTGGGGCAGGGCTGCTCGGGCCTCCAGGCTGCTCTGCACCCCTTGGCATTCCCTCTACCTCCAGCCAGTGTGTCCCCTCCACCCCGCCAGAGCCCCAGCTCAGCCCTGTCTTTCCCGCAGGCGATGAATCACTCCAGAAGCATCTCTGCCCACACCCAAGCCACCAAGATGCTCACGGCCAACAGCATGGTGTACCCGGGGCTCAGGGCACAGCACTGTGTAAGTTAGCGAGCTGTCCTCACCCGTGTCTGGCCACACTCGGACTTGCAGCCTGCTGCTACCCCTTGATTTGTCTGTCCTGTCTTCCTTCCTTCCTTTCCTTTTCTGTGCCAGTACTGGACCTTGAATTTGGGGCTTGGATACTGTCTCTCGGTAGCTTTTTTCCCCTCAAGACTAGTGGTCTGCCACTTGAGCCACAGCTCCATTTGCTGCTTCTTGAAAGTTCATTGGAGACGAGTCTCACAGGCTTTAGGCTTTCCTGCCTACTCTGGCTTTGAATGGACATCTTCCTATCTCAGCCTCCTGAGTTAGCATTACAGGTACCTAACCTAACCTGAATAGTGTGTTTCTGTGTGTCTGTGTGTCTGTGTGTGTGTGTGTGTGTGTGTGTGTGTGTGTGTGCACGCGCGCGCGCGCGCTTGAACTCAGGACCTAGGTGCTGTCTCTGAGCATTTTCACTCAAGGCTGGCTCTCTACCCCTTGGATCACAGCTCCACCTCTAGCTTTTTTGCTGGTGAATTGGAGGTGAGAGTCTCTTGGATTTATCTGCCTGGGCTGGCTTCAAACCATGATCCTCAGCTCAGCCTCCTGAGCAGCTGGGATGCCAGTGGTGAGCTGGATTCTGCTGCTACCCAGGACTGACCGCCCGGCTGGAGGAGGAAGGGCAGGCCCCCGCACCCCCCCCCACCTCGGCCCCCACAGCCCCCCGGGGGCCCTCCACGCCCCGCCCTCCCCCCGCACCCCCTACCGCCCCCACAGTCCCCCGGGGGCCCTCCACGCCCCGCCCTCCCCCCGCACCCCCTACCTCCCCCACAGCCCCCCGGCCCTCCACGCCCCGCCCTCCCCCCGCACCCCCCCACAGTCCCCCGGGGCCCTCCACGCCCCGCCCTCCCCCCCGCACCCCCCCACAGTCCCCCGGGGCCCTCCACGCCCCGCCCTCCCCCCGCACCCCCCACAGTCCCCCGGGCCCTCCACGCCCCGCCCTCCCCCCGCACCCCCCCCACAGCCCCCCGGGGCCCTCCACGCCCCGCCCTCCCCCCGCACCCCCCCCACAGTCCCCCGGGGCCCTCCACGCCCCGCCTTCCCCCGGCACCCCCCACAGTCCCCCCGGGCCCTCCACGCCCCGCCCTCCCCCCCGCACCCCCCCACAGCCCCCCGGGGCCCTCCACGCCCCGCCCTCCCCCCCGCACCCCCCACAGCCCCCCCCCGGGCCCTCCACGCCCCGCCCTCCCCCCCGCACCCCCCCACAGCCCCCCGGGGCCCTCCACGCCCCGCCCTCCCCCCCGCACCCCCCACCCCCCCACAGCCCCCCGGGGCCCTCCACGCCCCGCCCTCCCCCCCGCACCCCCCACAGCCCCCCGGGCCCTCCACGCCCCGCCCTCCCCCCCGCACCCCCCCACAGCCCCCCACAGCCCCCCGGGCCCTCCACGCCCCGCCCTCCCCCCCGCACCCCCCTACCCCCCCACAGCCCCCCGGGCCCTCCACGCCCCGCCCTCCCCCCGCACCCCCCATCCCCCCACAGCCCCCCCGGGCCCTCCACGCCCCGCCCTCCCCCCGCACCCCCCATCCCCCCACAGCCCCCCCCGCCCTCCACGCCCCGCCCTCCCCCCGCACCCCCCATCCCCCCACAGCCCCCCCGGGCCCTCCACGCCCCGCCCTCCCCCCCGCACTCCCCACCCCCCCACAGCCCCCCGGGCCCTCCACGCCCCGCCCTCCCCCTTGCACACTTGCACACTTACTCACCAGGCCGTGGCAGGCGCTGATGGCGGCGCGGCCGAGCGCGGGCCCGCGCACGGCGCCCAGCAGGTGGCAGGCGGGCGCGCGGGCGTGGATGCGGGCCCCGCGCAGGCCCCCGCCGCCCCGCGTCTCGCTCACGAAGCCGGGCGCCAGCAGGTGCGGGTTCGGGGCCAGGCGGAAGCGCAGCCGCCGCCCGCGGAAGCGCAGCGCGTAGAAGGCCGGGGCCGCGCGTCCCGGCCCGGCCTGCCCGGCCTCCGCGGGCCCCGGCCCGGCCGCCCGCCGGCGCAGCGCCCGCGGCCGCAGCTCGAAGGACAGGAAGGCGCCGTCCGCGTCCACGCGCGCCGGGTACACCACGGCCCCGGGGCCGGCGCCTGCGGGACGGGAGCGCCGTGAGAGGGGCCGGCCACCCCAGCCACTCGGGAGGCTGAGAGCTGAGGATCGCGGTTCAAAGCCAGCCCGGGCGGGAGAGACCCTGAGACGCTGATCTCCAACGAACCACCGGGAAACCGGAGGTGGCGCCGTGGCTCAGGCGGCAGAGCGCCCGCCTGGAGCTGAAGCGCTGAGGGTCGGCACTCAGCACGGACGCTCTCCCTTAGCTTTTTTTCTGTGTCAAGGCTGGACCTCTACCACTGGAGTCACAGCTCCACCCGGGCCTTTCCTGGCCTTTAACTGGAAGAGTCTCGCAGACCTTCCTGTCTTGGCTGGCTTTGAACTGCCATCCTCAGATCTCAGCCTCCTGAGTACTGCTGTTAGGATTAAGGGCGTGAGCCACCAGTCCCTGGCTGGCAGTAGGTTCTACCCAGGTCTCCCTGCTGGCACTGCCCACCAGCAACTGCTCAGAACCAACCACATCCTGCTGGGCACCGCACCCACCGGTCACCTCTGCTACTCAGGAGGCTGAGATCTGAGGATCACAGTTCAAAGCCAGCCTGGGCAGGAAAGCCCACGAGACTCATCTCCAATGAACCACCAGAAAAGCCGGAAGTGGAGCTATGGCTCAAATGGTAGAAGGCTAGCCTTGAATGAAAACACTCACAGATAGCACCCAGGTCCTGAGTTCAAGCCCCAGGACCAGCGCAGACATGTGCATGGACACGCACACACACACACACACACACACACACACAGCCTTTGTTACTATGATGATTGTGTGGCTGGTGGTTATGGAATGTGCTCTTGGCGTCGGGGAGTGTCTCTCCAGGCTTCCTGAGGTAGAGGGAGGAGAGGAGACCACCCAGGCAAGGCGGCCTGGCTCCTCACACAACTGCAACCACGCAGATCTGGCTTCTACCCTCTGCATGCAAGGGCCTACTTACTTGAAGAAAGTTCCAGGGCTGGGGAAAAGGAAAAAAATAAAAACGAAAAAAAAAAAAACCACCTTCAGATCTCTGCTCCTACCCTTAGCAACTAGAAAAGCTTTCTCCCCTGGCATTATCTTCTGACCATTGCCCAGGAAGGCAGGAATGTTTAGTGTTGTTTTTGTTTTGGTGTGTGTGTGTGTGTGTGTGTATTTTTGTTTGAAGTTTTTTGATATGTATCCATTTTCAGAATAATGTTTATATTGTAAGTGTATAAAATAAAATGCACAGGGGTTCCCACGATTGTACTGAAATATGCTTATCAAAATAAGGGGGCATGGCTCAAGCGAGGGAGCACCTGCCTGGTAGACATGAAATCCTGAGTTCAAACCTCCACTAGCACTAAAAAAAAAAAAGTATAAAATTTAAGTTCAAGTTCCACTACTGTTTCCCAAATATTTATTTATTTTGCCAGTCCTGGGCTTGAACTCAGGGCCTGGGCACTGTCCCTGAGCTTCTTTTGCTCAAGACTAGCACTCTACCACTTGAGCCACAGCACCACTTCTGGCTTTTTCTGTGTATGAGATACTGAGGACTCAAACCCAGGGCTTCATGCATGCAAAGCAAGCACTCTAACTACGCCACCTCCTCAGCCCCCAAATAATTTTTGAAGTGGAATGTGCAACTTTTATGTGGTCCTTTATTAATTTATTTAACAAGATCTAAGCCAGGTGCCAATGGCTCACATCAGTCATCCTAGCCATTCAGTAAGGCTGAGAGATCTGAGGATCAAGGTTCGAAGCCAGCCCACACAGAAAAGTCTGTGAGATTCTTATCTCCAATTAGCCACCAAGAAGCCAGAAGTGGAGCTGGATCTGTGGCTGAAGTGGTAGAGCACCAGCCTTGATGGAAACATCTAAGGGATTGCGCCCAGGTCCTGAGTTCAAGCTCCATTGTACACAAGTGCACATGTGCACAAATCTAATGGCAGATGTAACAATGATGATCATCTGTGATTGGTGATGAGCATAATAAATCTCCTACCAGACACCAACTACAAACAAAATGATACCAGAAAACTACTTGTTTGTTTAAAATACAGGCAATAAAAACCATAGGTGCTGATAATAGTGCTAGAATTTTAGTGATAATCATAGTTGAAGTGAATGCCAAATTTCATTTAAGAGGTTAAACAATCTACAGATGTAAATATTTTCCCATCCAAGTTTATGTTGTACTTTTTTTTTTTGCAAGACCAGAGTTTGAACTCAGGGCCCTGTGCTTGCTCATCTGGTGCTCCACAACTTAATCCATGCAAGTTTATGGATTCCCCAGCACTCATGATCCCTTTGGCCAAGTTAGGACACTTGTAGTACGGTCTACCAGACTGCTTTCTTGGTAAGAAAACAAAGGAGGCCTCAGAGAGGTCCAGAGAACGCTATAAAGTCACACAGCTAGAGGAGCAGAACCGATTCCCAAAGCCACACAAAAAAGCTAAGGACAGTGCCAAAGCCACAGCTTCACTTCTGGCTTTTTTTGGTGATTCAGTGCAGATAAAAGTCTCACAGAGATCCTTTTCCGGTTCATAAGCGTGATGATTGGGTTCTCACGCGCTTGCGTGACATGTGCCTCCTTCTAAACCTTGTTACGACATGGGCACATTACCCGTCTGACGTGGAAAAAAAAAAAAAGTCTTACAGACTTTCCTGCCTAGGCTGGCTTTGAACTGCAATCCTCAGATCTCAGCCTTCTAAACAAGATCACAGGCATAAGCCACCAGCACTTCAATTTAAAATACTTTTAAAGGTGGGTTGGGCACCGTAAGTCTACAACAAAATTAAAAACCCACAAAACAAAACACCTCCCTACATGCTGATGGCCAACTTCTGGTAATCCTAGCAACTCAGGAGGCGGATATCCAAAAAACATCACAGTTGGAGGCCAGCCTGGACAGAAAAATCCCTCTCCAAAATAACACAATAAAAAGCAGTGCTGGAGGCGTGGCTCAAGTAAAACACTAGTACCTTCAAAAGGAAAATGAAAAAAAAAATGGTAGAGTTCCAGTAGAGACCTCGGTGACTGAACTAGCACCACCTAGTGTTGGCAACACATAATTGCAGGCTCTAGTCCATTGAGTACTCTGGGAGCAGAGCGCAGAGCTACAACTCTGCCAAGACCAGAGCAGGTGCTCTACATACCTGCACCCCTCTCCCAGGGCTGCTGGCGGCTCGTGCTGAGTATGCCCTGCCAAGTCATGATTACCACACTCAGAGTTAAATCCTTTGCATATCACCCCTGGGTGACTGGGCTGTCATGTGGAAGTTTCTATGACAGAAATAAACACCCAACATCACGTTGACCCTAGTCTCTCTCTCAAGAGCCTGAGCTCCCATCCAGCACTTCCGAGGACCTCCAGCCCTGCAGAGGTGGAGAATCCAGACTCAGCAGACACGATGTGGAAAGTGAACCGTGCAACCTGTGGCTAGGCAAGGACAGGAGCGGGAGATGGGGGAAAGCGATGGGAAGGCAACGTTCTCTCTCTATATATATACGATGGGAAGGCAATGTTCTCTCTTCTCTCTCTCTAAGGCATGCAAGGCAAGTGCTCTACCACTGAGCCACCTTCCCAGCCCTATCTGACTTTTTGTTTTTGTTGTTGGTCATGGGGCTTGAACTCTGGGCTTGGGCCTGGGCGCTGTCCCTGTGCTCTTCAGCTCAAGGCGAGCGCTCTACCGCTTGAGCCACAGCGCCACTTCCGGTTTTCTAGTGGTTTATTGTAGATAAGAGTCTCATGGACTTTCCTGCCCCAGCTGGCTTTGAACCATGATCCTCAGATCTCAGCCTCCTGAGTAGCTAGGATTACGGGAGTGAGCCACCAGCGCCTGGCTCATTATCTGACTTATGGATCGATGACCCCTCTGTACAACTTAATCACAATAAACTTGTATTTTAAGATGAAGAGAGCACGATAGGTGAGTGACATAGGCCTTCCTCTGTAAACGGCTATCACAACAGTGTATGCACACTGGTGCCCAGGCAGACTCTGGACTATGATGGTCAGAATACATTTTCCCTTCTCCTTTCATTTCAAAGAAAGTAAGCATTCAACTGGGCACTGGTGGCTCACACCTATCATCCTAACTACTCAAAAGCCTGAGATCTGAGGATCAAAATTTGCAGCTAGAGAAGGAGGGAAGGAGGGATGGAGAGGAGAGGAGAGGAGAAAAGAGGGGAGGGGAAGGGAAGGGAGGGGAGGAGAAAAGGGAAGGCCTGGGCACCCGTGGCTCTTGCCTGCCATCCTAGCTACTCAGGAGGCTGAGATCTGAGAGTCATGGTTCAAAGCCAGCCCAAGCAGGAAAGTCCATGAGACTCTTATCTCCAATGAACCACGAGAAAACTGGAAGTGGCACCGTGGCTCAAGTGGTAGAGCACTAGCCTTGAGCTGAAGAGGTGAGGGACAGCACCCAGGCCCAGAGTTCAAGCCCCATGACCGAACAAAAAAAAGACTCCAAAGATGGACGCTGGACAGTCTTCTTCCCCTGTAGGGATTAGCTCCTGCCTGCCTGTCTGGTCCAACTTTCAGGATTCATTAAAGAGAGACTCCCTTAACACTATGAGAAATTAATCCATGATAGTCCCTATTACAAGCAACCCAGGTGCCTTATCTCATTTAAAAGCCTATGGTGACAAACACTTCTCCAGCACTGGATGTTTGTGGTTTTTTTGGGTCCTGGGGCTTAAACTCAGCGCCTGGGCATATGATGGATGACAAACTCTTCTCCAGCAATGGATTTTTGGGGTTTTGAGGGTTTTTTTTGGTCCTGGGACTTGAACTCAGGGTCTGGGAGCTGTCCCTCACTCTTCAGCTCAAGGCTAGTACTAAGCTGGACCACCTGAGTCACTTCCCGTTTCCTGGTGGTTCATTAGAGGTAAGAGTCTCACAGCCTTTCCTGCCCAGGCTGGCTTTGAACCGCGATCCTCAGACCTCAGCCTTCTGAGGAGCTAGGATGACAGGCGTGAGCCGCGTCTCCTGGCCCAGCACTGCCTCTTTCCACAGCTGCCAGAGGGCCTGCAAGGGCGGCTGCTGCTCCCTGGGAGGGGGGGACCCACTTTCCAGCGCCCTCCTCCCCACCCCCCCCCCCCCGCGGGCAGCGCTGGGCGCAGACGCTGCGGGTCCCTGGCGCCCTCGGCCCCGCGCCCGGCCTCCCCATCCCTGCCTCGCCAGGGCTGTGCAGGAGGTGCTGGACAGATGAGACCGGCTCTAGCAGATGCTCACTAAAACGCCGCGGGACCAAAAGCCTCCTCCCCTCCGAGGCCCCCCTCCGTGCTCCCCCAACCCAGCCCGGGCCCCGCGCCCCCTGCACGGGAGGGCGTGTTCCAGCCCCAGAAGCGAGCTGTCCCCTCCCGGGAGCCCCGGCCCCTCTCCTTCACAGACCATCCATCCTCCTGCCTCAGTTTCCCTCGGCAGGCCCGCGATCCCCCACGGGCAGGTGTGCCCCTTGCCACCCCCCTGGACCCTGGGAGGAGGGGGACCTGGGGGACCCTACACCCCCAAAACCCCCACCCCCAGGCCCAGCGCTCCGGGCGCGCCGGGAGCGCAGCTTCCCCGCAGGTCGTCCTCGAACCAGGGCCTGGATGGGAGCCAGAGATTCGCGGGAGACCGGCGGGGCGGGGCGGCGGGGCGAACCGGGGGAGGGGGGAGGAAGAAGCGCCGGCCGGCGGCGCGGCCCGGGGGGAGGGGGAGGCAGGAAGTGCCGGGGCTGCGGGGGAGCCCCGGGCGCCCCGAGGCCGAGCCGAGGCGGGGACGGCGGTCCGGGGACCCCCCCCCTCGCCCCACGGGCACCCCCGGCCCCAAGGCGCCTTCCCGCCCAGGGCGCCCCCCATGGCGCCCCCCTTCTGCCCACGCCGCCCCAGGCTGGGATGGAATCGGACCTTGCGCGCGCGGCGCAGTTGACCTCGGGGTTCGCGCTCTGCTGCACCCCGGGTGGGGAAGCTGGACCCCGAGGGGGAAGCCGGACCCCCCGATGGAGAGGCTGGACCCCGAGGGGGAAGCCGGACCCCCGAAGGTGATCGGGGCTGGTTCCAGGCCAAAGAATCAGGGGTCTGTGCCTCGATTGCTGTCGGGGGGGGGGAGCACCCCGGAGCACAGCGGCGCTCCGCTGCCCGCCCGCCCGCCCTCACCCGGGCCCGGGCGGGGGTCCCGCGGGCCGGGCGCGGGGAGGGCGCGGGGCCGGCACCCACCTGGTGCGAGTCCGGGGGCGCCGGGCGTCAGCGCGCAGAGGAGCAGGAGGAGGAGGCGCAGCCGCGGCCGCGCGGGGCTCCGGGGACCTGGCCGGCCGTGCATGGCCCGGCGGGCGGCCGCCCCCACCCCCGCCACCCCCTGGTCTCGATCCCCGTCCGCGCCGTCCGGTCCCAGCCTGGTCCCGGGTCCCACTCAGAGCATGGCCCAGCCGCGTGCAAACTCTTGGGGTCCCGGCCGCGGTGCAGGGCAGCGGCGCTAAGTCCTCGGGCAACAAAAGGCTGCAAGGCCCGCCCCCCTCGGCCGGCGGAGGCGAAGAAAAGACAAGAAGTCGAGAAGGAGAGAAAGAACTGGAGGGAGGGAGAGCGAGGGGCCGGGAGGGACGCCCCGCCCGCCGGCGCCTGGCCCCGCCCCGCCGCCAGACTCCGCCCACCGGAGCGTGGCCACGCCCCACCACCGGCTATGCCCCGCGGAAACATGGCCACGCCCACACTCCGGCCACGCCCCACTGGTTGGTGCCTGGTCACGCCTCCACCATAGGACCACGCCCCCTGTGTGCTCCCGCCCCTCCTGGTGGGTGGTGCCGGGAACCCGGCGGGTCTGGCTCCGGAGCAGCCGCCCGCAAGGCCGAGCGCGCCCCCTGGCGACGGAGCGGGGTGGGACCCTATCCCCGGCTCCGCGCGGGAGGAGGCGTCCTTGAAGCATCCTAGGCCCAGGCGCGGGACGCAGGGCGGGGGTGGGGTGGGGGTCCCGAGTGGGATCAGGGGTCGTGCAGGGACAGCAGGATCCCCGAGGTCAAGGAGGGAGTGTCTGGATTCCTCCCTCCTTCCCGCGGGTCCCCTCCAGCCCCAGCCTCACCCCCGGGCCTGGGCCCTGGCGCGCACCTGCGGCTGCAGATGCCCCCTTAGCCGCCAGGAGCAGCGCACTCCGCCCCGTGGCCTGCAGGACAGGTGGGGACCCCCACCCTCCAGTCTTGGGTCACCCCTACACACACACACACACACACACACACCGCCTCGGAGACCCACGTATTTCAATCTCACACGTACTGAAGTCCTTCACTTCTGGCTCCCTTTTCAGCAGAGCTCTGGGGCACCCGTGTGTGGATGTGTGTGTGTGTGTCACACGCGCACACACACTTACACACACGGCCCCCCTCTTCGATGATGTCATCCCCAGGGACCTTCCATCCTACCCCACCTGCTCCATCAGGCCTCAAAGCCTCAGCAGAAACCACATGGCCCTTCACAACTGTCCTCCTTTTTTCTGTGTGTATATAGTGGTACTGGGACTTGAACTCAGAGCCTAGAGGCTGTCCCATAGCTTTTTCATTCAGGCTCTACCACTTGAACAACAACTCCACTTCCGGCTTTTTGCTGGATCATCTCACAGACTTCCCCTCCAGCCAGGGCTGGCTTTAAACTGAGCTCCTCAGATCTGGGCCTCCTGAGTAGCTGGGATTACAGGTGTGAGCCACCGGCGACCCGTCTGAGAACCCCTTCTCCCTATTTCCATCCTTTTCCCAGGATGCTGGGCTGTCTGTGCTGTGTCTGCTTGCCACTGCTTCGCCTTCCTTTTCCATTTGCTTGGGAGTCTCACTGGACACCATAGGAAGGAGTCAGTGGAGAGGCTTAGTCATATCCTCAGGACACAAAACAAGCCAGGCCAACTCCAAATGTTGGAGGGGGGGGCCTAAGGGCACATTTTGAACAAATCAAGGGATTTCATATTTTAATGTATCACTATTTAGAATATCGTGTATCTGATTAGTGATTTTTTTCCTTCAATCCTTAAAAAAAGAGATTTCTTTTCTCAAAAGTGATTGAACTTCTATATAAGCCAGTATCTCAGTAAGCATAAGCAAGCTGGGCACGGGTAGTCATGCCTGTCATCCTAGCTACTCCGAAGGTGGAGATCTGCAGATCATGGTTCAAAACCAAACCCAGCAGGAAAGTCCATGAGACCCTTGTCTCCAATAAACGACCAAAAAACTGGAGTGAAGCTATGGATCAAGGGTAGAGTGCTAACTTTAAGCAAAAAGAGGCTCAAGGGACAGTGCCTAGTTCCTGAGTTCAATCCCCAGGACCAACACACACACACACACACAGTATAACTAAAACTATTAGAAATTAATCAACATTTTAAAAGAAGTTGGTCATGATGGTGACATTTGTAATTTCAGAATTTGAGAGGCAGAGATAGGAAGATCACAAATTCAAGGCCAGCCTAGCTGAGAGGGAAAGAAAAAGAAAAAGAAAGAAAGAAAGAAAAAAAGAGGGAAGGAAAGAAAGAAAGAAAGGAAGGAAGGAAGGAAGGAAGGAAGGAAGGGGAAAGAAAGGAAGGAAACCATATTCATTGTTTCTTTTATTTGTTTATATATTGGTAGATTGTTAAAAAGCAGGAAATCTGGGGGCTAACAATTGTTAGAAAACTGAGTCATGAGTGTTAGGAAAGATCAAGCAGAAGGAGAAAGAAGGCAGAGACCTCCACAGCCCAGAGCAGGCTTTAATCATGGCTGCAAAGGGACTCAACAGGAGAGACAATGAGAGTTGGAGAGACCAGGAAGAAGCAGAGAAATGGAAGGGGGTTAGGTTGGTTTTGTTTTGTTTGTTTAGTTTCCAGTCCTGGGGCTTGAACTCAGGGCCTGGGCACTGTCCATGAGCTTCTTTTTTTTTTTTTTTTTTTTTTTTTTGGGGGGGGGAGTCCGGTTGTGGGGCCTAAACTCTGGGCCTGGGTGCTGTCCCTCAGCTCTTCAGCTCAAGGCTAGCGCTCTACCACTTGAGCCACAGCACCACTTCCGGCTTTTTTCTTTTTGCTTATGTGGTGCTGAGGAATCGAACCTAGAGCCTCAGGCATGCAAGGCAAGCGCTCTACCACTGAGCCACCTTCCCAGCCCCTGTCCATGAGCTTCTTTTGCTCAAGGCTAATGCTCCACTACTTGAGCTACAGAGCCACTTCCAGCTTTTTCTGTGTATGTGGTACTGAGGAATGGAACCCAGGGCTTCATGCATGCAAAGCAAGCATTCTACCAATGAGCCACATTCCCAGCCTCTAGGGTTTAGAGTTTTGGTGTAGTTGTTGTTGTTGTTTGTCGGTCATTGGGCTTGAACTGTGGGCCTGGGCGCTGTCCCTCAGCTCTTCAGCTGTAGACTAGTACTCTACCACTTGAGCCTCAGCCCCACTTCCGACTTTTTCTGCTTATGTGGTGCTGAGGAATTGAACCTAGAGCCTCATGCATGCAAGGCAAGCGCTCTACCATTGAGCCACCTTCCCAGCCCCTTTGCAGGTTCTTTAACACAGTATTTCTCAACTCAACATGATTTTGCCTCCATGGGAATTTTTGAGGTCTGGAAGATATTTGGGGTTGTCATAGCCCAAGAAAAGATACTGCTAAATGACACAGCCCCCTGCAGTAAAGAACGATCTAGGCCCAGATGTCAGAAGTGGAAGAATGCGCTGTGTGCCAATGATTCACGCCTGTCATCCCAGCTCCTAAGCGGGCTAAAACCAGAAAATCCAGGTCCCAAGCTAATCTGGGCAGACAAATCAGTTATCTCCAATCAACCAGCAAAAAGCCAGAAGTGAAAGTGTACCTCAAAAGTATGGAGCACCAGCCTTGAGGGGAAAAGCTAAGCAAGAATGAAAGGCCCTGCCAGGCACTGGTAGCTCACGCCTGTCATCCTAGCTGCTCAGGAGGCTGAGATCTGAGGATCATGCTTCAAAGCCAGCCCAGGCAGGAAAGTCCACGAAACGCTTATCTCCAATGAACCACCAGATGTGGCTCAAGTGGTAGAGTACTTAAGCTGAAGAGCTCAGGAACAGCACCTACGCCCAGAGTTCAAGGCCCACAACCGACCAAAACAAAAAAGAAAGGCCCTGTGTTCAAGTCTCAGTATTGGCACCCCCCCACACACACACTCACATGCACATACACACACTCACATGCCCATACACAGAGAAGCCCCTTCCTAGGACACAGGACAGGAAGTGGGCTGAGCGGGAGCTGGCCTGGGGCTGAGGGCCTGGCTTGTGTGTGAGCAGCCACTGTGACCCTAGTTAGCCATTGCTCCGGAAGCCCTGGAGACGCCGTGTCTGCAGTGTGGCCCTGCTCTGCAGGGCTGAGACACTCCCCTGGCACCAGGCAGGAGAAGCCACGGTCATTAGACAGTCAGCAAAGGCCCAGGACCCAATCCTCCTCCTCCTCTGCGCTTCCTCCCCTTCCTCTTCTCCATTTCCTTCTCCTCCTCTTCCTCCACTCCTCCTCTCCTTCCTCTTTTCCTCCTCTTTCTCTTTCTCCTGCTCCTCCTCCTCTTCTTTTTATTGTTTTCCTTCTTTTTCATACTATTATTTTAACAAATGATATCCCATAGTTTCATGTCTGAGATCATTTGTAAACCATCTTATGTATCTCTATTGTATTTACTGCATACTGTATTTAAGAGCTGCTTCTACTCATTGTTTATCCCCAAACATTTTTTTTTTGATGTATTTTTTTAGCCTGTAGAATGAAACGGCTTGTTTCAACTTTCAGAACCAAAATCCTCACTGGTAACAAGATACAGGATAAAAAGGAATTACATGGGAGCTGGGAAGGTGGCTCAGTGGTAGAGCGCTTGCCTTGCATGCCTGAGGCCCTGGGTTCGATTCCTCAGCACCACATAAGCAAAAAGCCGGAAGTGGCGCTGTGGCTCAAGTGGTAGAGTGCTAGCCTTGAGCTGAAGAGCTGAGGGACAGCGCCCAGGCCCAGAGTTCAGGCCCCACGACCGGACTCAAAAAAAAAAAAAAAAAAGGAATTACATGGGTCATTTCTTTTTGTGGTTAATCAAGATATCATTAGACTCCTGGGTAATGTGCTGCCTTGCAGTGGAGATTGGATTGATTTAAAACACATGAAACTTATTATGAAATTGCTGTTTACTAACATTAAAACCAGAGCTGCCCAGGCACCAGTGGCTAGACACTGTCCCTCAGGATTTTTTGTTCAAGGCTGGTGTTCTACCACTTGAGCCACAGCTCCACGTCTGGTTTAGGGTGGTTAATTGGAAATAAGAGTCTCATAGACCTTCCAGCCCATGTTGGCTCTGACCTGTGATCCTCAGATCACA